ACAAGGAAAGAACAACAGAGGGGGGGTAGCAAGAGACGCACGGAGGAATGAATAAAACAACCAAGCAGGCGATCTCGCACAATCCGAACGCGACTACCGAGGAAGAAGTGACGCCACCCCGCCCGCCCCTCCCACGCACACACGCTCCCCGCCCCTCGCACAGCCAGCTGCCCACAGAGCTCTCCGCTCCTCCGCTCCCCCGCTCCGCCCCCACAGCTCTCCGCCCTGCCCGGCCTGCGCTGGATCCGACTGCTCTACTGCTACCCGAGCTACTTCTCCGACGACCTCGTCGCCGAGATCGCAACCAACCCGAAGGTGGTCAAGTACATCGACATCCCGCTCCAGCACCTCGCCGCGCCGACCCTGCAGCGCATGCGCCGCCCGGGCGCCACCGCGCCGACCGCGCCGCCGCTCTGTCGGGTGACGCGTTTTGGGTCACACTCCCGAGTCTTCCGCGCCCAGGCGCCAAGGCGACCATCTCGCTGCTCGAGCGGCTGCGGCGCGAGGTCCCGAGCCTCGTCCTGCGCACAACCTTCATCTGCGGCTTCCCGGGAGAGAGCGACGACGACCACGACGAGCTCGTACGGCAGGCGCATCTCTCGGCTGCACCTCGGCTGTACCTCGGCTGTACCTCGGCTGTACTTCGGCTGTACCTCGGTTGTGTCTCGGTTGTGTCTCGGCTCCTCTCGGCGCCTCTCGGCGCCTCTCGGCGCCTCTCGGCATATCTCGGCATATCTCGGCATATCTCGGCTGTCTCTCGGCGCCTCTCGGCATATCTCGGCATATCTCGGCATATCTCGGCTGTCTCTCGACAGGCGCGCCGTCTCGGCTTTGAGCGCGGCGGCGCCTTCTCCTACTCCGCCGAGGACGGCACGCCCGCGGCGAGCATGGCGGGGCAGGTGGAGGAGGAGACCAAGCAGGCGCGCAAGGACGAGCTCGTCGCCTTGTTCCAGGAAGCGTCGGCCGCGTGGGCCGAGGCGCGAGTGGGGAGCGAGCTGCGCGTGATGGTCGATCGGATGGACGGGCTGGACGCGGTCGGCCGCACCGAGCACGACGCGCCCGACATCGACGGCGCCGTCCGCATCCCGGCGATGCCGCTGCCGCCGGGCTCAGAGGCGCATTCCGCCGCCGCCGCCGCCCCCGCCCCCGCCGCTCTCGCCGCCCGCCGCTCCCACCCTTCGCTCCGCCGCCGTCGCTGCCGTACGTTGTGATGGTGCTCCCCGGCGCCTCAGCCTCTCTTGGCTCCACGGCTCCCCTCTCTCTTCCCGCGCCCCACCTCCAGCCCTCCCTTTTGCCTCAGGTGCTTGTGCGCGTGCTCTACGCGGACGTGGACGGCGAGCTTGTCGGCGAGGTTGTCGGTTCCCCGCCGCAGTGACCACTGTCCACGCCTCTCAACGTGTTCTCTCTGCACTGACCGCTCTGTCCACCGCTCGCGTTGGTTTAGTTGGTTGTGTTACTGTTAGCCGTTCACGTACACTGTCAGATTCCACTGTGTAACTGTAAAGCCAAAAAGCGCGCGCCGTAACTCGACAACCAACTTTGGGAACTTCTTTGGGACGACAAAATCGCGCTCGCGGCTCGGATCAGGCATCAGGCGATCAGCCCACGACGCACGAGCACGACCGGAACTCCGCGTGTCAGGTGTCACATAGTGTAAACTTCTCTCTATTTTTGTGGGCATCCTCTCCGTCACGTATGAAATTGTACATATATACATGTGTGGGGGACAGTCACACAGTCGGTGCAGGGACGGCGCGCTCAAACGCCGAGCAGAGGCGAAGAACAGGGGCGACGTCAGGTGTCTAGTCCGCCGCGCCCACTGCACCCCTTACCAGTCTGGTTCCTCCACGTGGAGGCCGATGGCCACGCCGCGGTGGCGTCTCCTGGCGTCCCGCACGGCGCCTTGGAGCGCCTTGCTCATCGCATCCGGCCCGCATACGCACACACACAGGCCCGTCGTGATGGGCGAGGCAGCCTCCGGAGTTGCAACAGCCTCAACCTCTGCCACCGCCTTGTCGATCAGCTCCGCCATGTCTGGTCTCCCGAGCAGAACCGAGCGCTGCCGCGCCTGCAGCGTGGTGCTCTGCGCACCCGCGCCTGCTGCGCCGGTGCCTGCGCTTTCACCTTCACTTGAAGCGAGACACGCGCACTTCATCGAGGCGATGACATGGCTGCTCGCCCACCGCGCGAACGCGGTCGCGGCTGCAATGGAAACGAAAGCGCACGCAACAGGGAGAGCCCTGGCCAGGAGGTACTGCGCCTCCGTCGGCTCGCCCTCAAAGCACCCGTCGCCACAGCCCTTCTCGTAGTCGACGTACAGGGAACTGGCGCCCTTGAAGTAGAAGTAGGACATCTGTGTCAGACAGAGCGACACCACGCCCACAAACGCGAAGAGCCACGGCCTAGTGCCGCCCCTCCCGACGGCCCTCTGCGCCGGGGCCGCGATCGTCGACACCGGCTCGGGAGCCGCATCGATCCCGTCCTCTCGTGCCGAAGCGCGAGTCAGGAACACTGTGGTACCGCTCTCAGGCAAGTACGGCCCCATGACATCGAGCTCTGCGTGCGTGCGCCCGCACCACACCAGCCGCATGGTCTGTGCCGTGGCGCCGTGGAGACGGCACATCTCTTGCCATTCCTCTATCGCAGGCAGCCACGGAGCCACACCCACCCCGCCAGCGACGAACAGCACGTGCGAGTACGAGCGCCACGGAGGCGAGGCATTGCCGTACACGCCGTCGACCTCGCACGCCAAGTCGGTGGCGACGCTGCTGAGCCGACTCATCGGTGCGGAGCCGTGCTCGATGCCGAGGGCGGCGGCCGCCTGTTTCTGAGCGAGCTCGTGCAAACGCCTGGTCCAGTCGCCGTTCGCCTTGATCACGATGCTCGGGCAGCGAGCGGCGAGGGAGAAGGCGTGCGACTCTCCGCCAAGGGCGGGAACCCGGAGGTACAGGAACTGCGTGCCGTATGCGGCTTCGGATCTGAGCGACGGACCTGCAACATCGACCCGCACCCAATCGGCGGTCATCAGCCGCACGCGAGCGGTCACGTGGTGGAAGCGGCTGGTCGCCGTCCTGTTCAGGAAGTCCGTGCGGTCCAGAAAGTAGGCGAACACTCCGGGAACGACGAAGACCATCATCTGAAACTCGTGGACAGCGCCCAGCACGATGAAGAAGGCGGCAGCAGGGACATGCACGACGTAGAAGAGGTCGTAGCGCGCCCGGCGCAGCCGCGGCAGAGAGAAGGCCGATAAGGATATGGCGGCAAGCGTGCCAATAAGGCCGACCAAAATGAAGACACCCAAAGTGTTTGGCTCCGGTTCGCCAGTCTCGACGCTCAGCCGCGTGGCCCACGGCCAGAAGTAGACACGCAATGCTGCCAGCACGGCGTGCAGCTGTGTGCCGTCGAACTCTCCCGGGCACTCTGGGCCTCGCGTGTGGTTGCCGTGCGCGAGGTGATGCTTCCAGTCCTCGTAGTCGCTCGCGGCGTCCAGCGCTGGGGTGACTGTGTAGCACAGCGAGTGGATCACGACCTGCGCAACACACCACCAGCCCTGCGCCGACAACGGGAAGGGAGGCGTCGTGAGCAGCGCAGCGTCGTGAAACAGAGGGTCTGGGAGAAGTGTCTGGGCCGCGCCGTGACGCGATGGAACGCGACCCCCTCAGGGAATCCCGCGGCAGCGGCGTTGAGCCAGAGCGACTGACGGGCGATGGGCAGCAGGCACATCCCCATCATCCACTTGCAAGCCTTGCCCGAGATGTAGCCCCAGCCGTCGACGAGGTCCGTAGCGTCCGCATAGCTCTGGCAGGCCCACCATGGGATGACGCCAGCGAGCAGCATAATGTTGGCCTTACCAGCCGCCGGTGTTCTGAACGTTCTGAGAACGCATCCGACTTTTCCGAGCCCTGCCATTCTGATCATTCCCCTTACCTAGCCAACTCAGGCCATCACCTCGACAGTCGTATTGCGGCGAGATCCATCCGGCCTCGCAAACTCCTGCAGTGCGTCCAGGTTCTTTCGATGGGTCCAGGCGGAGGGCGTTAGCTGGCACAGGGACCGCGCCGAGGGGTGCATACACCCATATACCTGGCGAGACGCGAGTAGAGACCACGCCTCACTTTTTTTTCACAGGGGGGATCCGTCTGGAAAAAGGATAGCCTCCCACATAACATGTGTCTCAGAGAGCCGGAAAAGAATTTTAAACAATCATCGCACGACACTAGGTAGGCAGACAGTTGAAGAACAGCCAGTGCCGGACTGGACACCAACGCGACACTGGGACGGAAAAGAAAAGGCACCCGGCGTGGCTCCCGGGGCAGTGGTGGAGATCCTCCAGCATGCCACCGAAAAAGGCGAGGTTGGCTCCGGCCGGGTCAGACGCCGGCTCCTCCCGCGATGCGGCCCAGCGTCTGTATGCGCGAGAGCCCGACGGCGCGCGCCAGCTTGCTCAGCACTTTGTCTCGCTCGTGCAAGACCATATGCGGGGCGGCGCCGACCGCGAACAGCTCTCCATCGGGCTCGCCGGCTTAGGTCTGCACGAAACACACGTCGAGACCCTTGAGAATGTCGGCGTGATCAAGCGCAATGACGACACCTTCCTCGCCGAGCTTGGCGAGACGTTTGTCGTGCCGACCAATGAGCGCGACAAGTGCGCCCGCTGGAGCCAGGCCGTGCGCGAGCTGGAAGGTAGGATCGAGGCGGTGTGGCCAGCGGCTGCAGTGCCAGTGGCTGCGGGGGAGCGGCCGGCGAGGCGCGTGGAGCAGGCTCGCCAATCGCCAGCCTCGCCCCGTCCCTGTGCGTGGAGAGGCCGCCTCAGTCCCCGTGCGTGGAGAGGTAGAGCTTCTCACCACACCTCTACCTCTCCCTCCTCCCACCCACTGTACGCAGATGTCGCTCCATGCCGCGGCCGATCGGGTGGAGGACGATAAGACCGTGCCGATGACGGAGGCAGAGGGAGGCGAGGGGGCGGCGGGGAGCAGCGGCGCGGCGAGCAGCAGCGCGGTGCGGCGCCCTCCCCTCGGCCCTCTCGCGAGCCCGACCACGGATGAGGTGCAATCAGTGGTGCCCCCCCCCCCCCCTCCCTCCGACACCTCGAGGGGCAAGATACTCCGAAGCCTCGTCCCAACCTGCCCTCCCCATCGCTTGGGCCTCAGGGCGCCACGTCCGAGAGCTCTGGGATTGACCCGGTGTTTGAGGCGCGCTTACCCTGTGCCCGATCTGTCCCGATCCGTCGCGCTCACCACGCCGCGCTCACTGCATGCCGCGCGCGGCATAGGGGGTGAGGACCATGCTCCTTGCGCGGACCCCCCCGCTGTCGAAGGCGCTGGTGCCCAAGTACGAGCGCATCAAGGCTCTCCTCGCCGATGACGACTTCACGTGCATCGGCGAGATGCAGCAGTACGACACTCTCCGCGACATCTTGTCGTCGGACAACACGAATGCGGAGAAGCTCGGGGTACTCAAATTTCTCTATCTCGAGTCGGACAAGTTCATAGTCCATGTGCCATCTCCCTTCACGACGCCGCTCGAGCTCGCGACGGAAACGCTCGCGGGCACGGAAGGACTGGACGAGCTGACGGATCGGATGCGAGCCCTGCTCGCCATGCCTCGTGCTGCGAGCCCTGCTCCCGTCTAAGCCTACTAATACTGTTGCATGCCGGTAGTATGTTTGTGGCTGTGTATATGGGAAGCGCCCTGAGACCCTCCGAGACGCGCGAGAGCGCGATCTGTACCCCTGAATGGGTTGCTGTGGTGTGTGGACCAGTGTGGACAGCTTCACAGCTCCACTTCCTGCAGAAACAAACCCGTACAACTTGCATGCCTGGGACAGATGGGTGCCCTGAGCACCTGAGCGGAGTATGAGACCAGTGTTATAAGGTATTCGTGGAGCTGCACCCCTGTTCACACTTGTTCGCGCTGTGAAAAGAGCTTGTCGCGGCCGTGTTCTGCTGGCGGCCCGCTCGCGCCGAGCCCTCCTCGGTCCTGCTGGCAAGGTCTGAGCTGCCACGCTCGATACCTCTGCGCCTCCTCTGTAGCCCGCGCCTCGCTGGACACGCGTAGGGCGGCAGCGGGCGATCCGCTCGCATCGCAGGCGCGTGCCGCCTGCCTCACATCACTCACCCGCTCGCCCGCCTCAACAGCAGTCCTCCCCTCCATTCTAATACGGGCAGCGCCGACCCGTTTGCTCCATTGGTCTTGCAGGAGGGTCGGCACCGAGTCTGGGCTGAGTCGGCGGTCCAGCTCTCCTTGCCGAAGTGTCGCTCGACTGCTGGTGAGCGGTAGTGCAAGAGGAGACTCCATCTACAGACAATCATACCATCTGTTCCTGTGCAAGTGATTTTAGCTTAGCTCTCTTGTTTCGCTACAATTGTTTGGCTCCTCCTCTTTAACCTAGTGCTCCCTCCTCCCCCCACTGCGCCGCTTCCGCGGCTCACCCGCAGGTGTGCCAGGCCCTCCATCACCCTTGCCGCCGCGCCGCTTCTTCCCGCCACGCGGTCCCCGGCGCCGATGCGGCCGGGGCTGGGACCGTGAGCGGCGATCGCGCTCCGAGTCGCCCAGCGACGGCAAGGCAGGACGACGAGGCGCGACGGCCGTTGAGCGGAGGGCTGGCGAGCAAAAAGAGGCGCCTCCGTGCGCAAACTTCAGAGGGACTCTTATGAGTTATGCCCCCGGGCTCCGCAACGAAACCACTACGTGCTATGAGTTTTCACGATCAGTTCCGGTTACCCCCGAGCCAGAATTCCTGGGGTCAGTTTTGCTGCGCTCTGAAATGTCTCTCTCTATCTCTCTCTCCGTCCGATTTTCGTGTCAAAAATGCTTATTGGTTATCGGGGGATCTCGGCGCGCGACAATACGGCATTAGAGACAGAGACGCGAACAGTACAGCATTTACAAAGCGGCACGAGCGAATGAAGATACTTACGGGAAAACCAGCATGGTGCCGAACGCGCCGTAGAAGTTGTGCAGCTGGAAGCCGGGGCGGCCCAAAAAGTGGGTAAATCCAGCCGCCTCGACTTTCAGCATCGCCTACAACCAAACAAACCTAGCTGGGTGGGGATGAGGGATGTGCTGAAAGTGCAGGAGGATGTTTCACCTGCATAATCTTGCAGCCATGCTCCGAAGACAGCTTCGCTGGGCAGCGGAACAGCATGTACCTATTGCAAAAGGCATGCACTTCAAAGCCCGCAATCACGACATGTCCAGATACTCCGGTATATCTGCGCCACAACCAGTAGAGCCAGCCAATGAAATAGCTCCCCGAGTGGCGGTCGATCGCCGCGAAGTGCAGCCCGTAGGAGGAAGAGCGGTCAAAAGACCTCATCCTGAGCAACCGGCGGAGCACTTTTAACCTCACAGGGGCAACTTCATCCCACCGGCGAGGACACGCCTGATGCCAGCGCTCGCAAACCACCGTGCGAGTGCGGCGAGGAAAGCAACGCTCTCCGTGCTGTCCGCGTTGGCGAGGTCCACCTAGATGTTGCCCGTAAAGCCCAAGCCGATGAGCCGAGATGAGCCGAGATCGTGATGGGCCGAGATGAGCCGAGATGAGCCGAGATGATGAGCCGAGATGAGCCGAAAGTGAAGGGAGAGGAAGACGAGAGGGAAGGGGGGGCGAGAATTGAGACGAGAGGCGGGAGCGCGCACCTAAGGGACGTGACCTGTTCATGCGCAGGACGCACGCCAAAGACAAGGGAAGCGGGCAGCGGCGGCAAAGGCGATGCGCGCGCCGAGGTGATCAACCCGCCGTGGCGGTGGCTGTTGCGGTCGCCACCCGGCTGCACCTCGACGGGAATCTGCCCGTCGTTGATGACCAGCGTGTCGGCGTTGTTGGCTTGGTCAGGCATGGCAACGACGAAGGCCTTGAGGGGCAGCAGCTCGAGGCGGCCGAGCTCGCGGAGCGCTGCCTCTTCGGTCTGCGCGTCCTGAGAGGCAAGGAAGGGCGCCGGGGGCGAAGTGGAGGCGGAGGGAGGAGCGCGCAAATGGGAGCTGCGCCGTTGAGCCTGCGATGTCGACTGCTGCGCGAGCTCGGCGAGCTCGTTGCACCGAGTCATAAAGAGGCGGTCGCACATCACGATGTCGGCGCTCTCAGTGCACTCGAAGGCCCCCGTCCATTCAAAGGCAAAGAAGCCGCGCTGCGCCTCCTCCGTGTGGAACTTGTTTAGCCCCTCGGCGAGCGCCTACCGAAAGTGCGAGGATCGCACGAAGATTCACGAAGGGCGACACTCTCGAAGGGCACAGGCGGAGGTGGGTCGGAGAGAAGGAGTCAGACCGAGGGGGAGAGCACTCCGTGCCTTGATCACGCACAAGCCACCGAGGTGGCGTTGCTTTCCGGCCAGATGAAGCAGCACCCCGTTGGCGTCATAGACGCTTGAACAGGCCCTCAGCGGCACGTTCGGGAAGTTGGTGGTGAGGCAGTACGGGAAGGGCTCCTTGCGGCCTGTGCCGTGTGAGGGGGCCGGGCGGTGGGAATGGGGGTGGGAGAGTCGCGCTGCAGTCGCGAAGAGTCGAGCCGAGGAAGTTGATGGTCTGGCGCACGCCGGGCGTCAGTTGCTGCGTGAGCGCGTCGAGCTCGTGCCGTGCCGCATTGACGTCGAGCGGCAGGGCGACGTTCGCGCATCGGAGGGGTACGAGGGGCGCATCGGAGGGGTACGGATCGACGTCCGCCCGGGGAAAGGACGTCAAATCCTTGGCGATGGCGGCGAAGGCGATGCCGCCTTCGCCCTTGACTTTGCAGCCGCTGAGTACACGGGAAGAACATTCGCTGACTGTCAGAATGAGGAGGGGTGTGCAGTGTGCGGGTGAGCGGGCGGGCGAGAGAGGGGCGAGGGAGAGCGGGAGGCAGGGAGGCATGCAGGGAGTGAGGGAGAGGGAGGGGGTGCGCACAATACGGGAAGCACATTGAGCGTGGAGCCCGCGGCCGCACGGCCGCGCTGGTAAGGGCCATGCTCTACCGCGGATGTGGCGGCGCCACTCCAGCCGACCAACCTAGCCTGCCAGCCCACGCTGTCGCCGCCGGCCTCGGCATCGGCGGCCGTGTAGGGCTGCGGGAGAGAAGGAAGCAGGTGAGAAGGGGGCGAGGGGCAGGGCAGGAGGGAAACGTGGGGGGGAGGGTATGATCAGGGGGGAAGGGGTGAGAATGACTCGCCTGGTCGGGGTTTCGCCGTCCTCCATTGCGGTGGGTGGACTTGTTGGCGGACGCGAGCGAGTCAAAGTGCTCTCGGTACCATACGCACGACACACAGTCGAGCGTGTGCTGCTCCCCGTTCTCGGCGCGGACGGTGTAGAAGCGGTCGTCCGCGCCTAGAGGCGAAGCGCGCTGTGTGGGGTGCAGGCCCTGCGGTGAGGGGTGGGTCAGCAGATGAGCAGACCTACCGCCGCCACCACCTGCGCGCGCACGGCCTCCGTGCGAGCGTCGCCCCGACGGGTTGGCGCGACCGCGCGCTCAAAGGTCACCCTTGCTCCAACAGCGAGGATTGGCGGCGGGAACAATGGCAGCGCGGCGCCGTCGTAGTTTGACCGCCACCACGTCCGGCAGAGAAGCTGCAGGCTCGGGGTGCGCTGCACCGTCACACCACCGACGCCCTCGGGTACAAGCCGCATCAGGAAGAGGTGCGGGTCCACCCATCCCCTGCAAGCGTCAATAAGCTGCTGCGCGTCCGGCAAAAACGGGGCCTCCAGGCCCCGCCCCACCCCGGTGACGTACTCAACCTTGATGCTCGGTCGGGTGCACGCGAGCTTCTCGGCCGCCATGTACAAGTTGATATCGATATCATCGATGGTGCCGCCTCCGCGCGCCGGCTGCGGGAAGCCTGCCGATGACAATCCACTCCTAACCTGCTGGCGATACTCTGTTAGATTCATTCCGCCATCGCTCAGCTTGGCAGTCTCCAGGTCAGAGTGACGAACGAAAAAGAAAGAGACGGACATCGTCCGCCTTGGGGAGGGTTGCAGGTGGGGACCCTGTCCTCGTCCCATCCCTCGTTTGGCGTCTCTGTTTTCTTTCTTTTTTTTTGGGAGGGTTGCCCGCCAAAAAAAGTCAATTCTTGACTTGGGCCCTCGGGGAGGGCGGCCTTCTCTCGAGGTCTCGAGATACACAAAACGGCCAATGGAGAGGGCACGACGTGACAAAAGCACGCCCCGATCCGAGGCATCTGCAGGGCAGAGAGGCGAGGAGGCTCGCGCATTCGAGCGGGCGCAGGGGCGGAGGCCGAGGGACGCGTGGGCGGACAGCGCACGGTTGATCAGGTCGGCCGACAGCTCCTGCGCCTCCGGGTGCAGGTCGGTGGACATGACGATGTCGACCTGTGTCGACGGGGGAGGCGTGAGGTGAGAGCAGCGAGCGCCGACGTGGCGGTCCAGAGCGGCGTGCGAGGTGCGCGCCAGCGAGTGCAGATGCTCTACACACGCCTCGGCCAGAGGGACGGGCAGCGAGTCCGATGCGCTGAGGAGGACGTCGAGCGTGCTGTAGAGGAGGCCATCGTCCGGATCGAGCGCCTTGGCGCTCTCCGAGGGCGCCCACAGCGTCACGTTGTCGGAGAGGTAGGTGAAGAGGTTGTCGAAGACCTGCACGGGGCGAGGGCCGAGGCGAGGAGATGCAGAGCCTAGACCGCGGTGGGGAAATCGGCGCGCGCGCGCCTTGTCGGAGAGCAGCGTCTGTGCCTGATCCGCCTCGGCGGCGCGCTTGGCCACCTCCGTCAGCAGCCGCTCGAACGCGACAACGTCCTTCTTCTTTGCGATACCCGCCTCGGGCTGAGCGGCGAGGAGGTTGGCGAGGGCGTTTTTGGCCTGCGGTCGAGCGAGTGGGAGAGGCGGCGAGTGGGCGAAGCTACGGCAAGGCATCTCTCTACCGGCAGGGCACGGCAAGGCAGGCTTCTTTACGAGCGACTTCAGGACAGCGTTCACCGGCATGATCAGACGCTCGCAAGCCCCCGGAATAAAACTCGCTTCGGCTTGCCTTCCTTCTGCCGCTCTGTCTTTTCTACTGCCCCCGGTCTGTCTCTTCTACTGCCCCCGGTCTGTCTCTTCTACTGCCCCCGGTCTGTCTCTTGCTACTAGCAGCTCTCTCCACCGACCCACCGACCCACCGTGCTCTGAACGCGATACGCAAGAAGAGGGTGCGGGTGGCTCTCTCTCGATTCGACATTCGTGTCTCACACCTCTCTCTGACCAGCTCTCTCAATATGTGCCCTCTCATACGTCGTGGCTTTGTCAAAAGTCGAGGCTGGCCCATTAGACAAAAACAAACAAAACGGAAAGAATGGTGATGGTTGGCGCCTTCACCTGCAGGATCTCTCAGCCTCGCACGGGCGAGCATGGCGGAGAGCGCTCGCCACCGGCCGACGTCGCTGTCACCGCCTCGAGCGCCCCCTGCGGGTCCCGCGGGGGGAAGGCCTTGTCGTATAGCAGTGCGACCACCCGTTCCTGCGACGGGGTGCGGAGAGGGCGGCTCATGCTTCCTTCCCTAACTCATCCAGCCGGGACATATCTATCGTCGCACCTGCGACAGCAGCAGCTCGAGGACCCGTTCGCGGTCGCCAGGCGAGAAGGAAGCGACCGCCACCTCGCGGCCGGAACCCGGCCTGCGATGCCAGCCCAGAGGCATCACTACGTCCCTCGAGGGTACATGACGAATACCGTGGCAGACAGCGTGAGTACGAAACATGGTCTCGAGGGTACAAGGTACAACGATACAGTGTCGTCTCTCAGCATCTAGGTCTCCTGCCTGCCCGCGCCGCCCGCACGCTCGCCCGACCGGTGCGCCGAGATCTCGCGTCGCACGTCCTCTGCGCAGGCGCGAAGCAAACCCTCGAGCTCGTGGACGAAGAGATCAGGGCGGAGAAGAAGGGAGCATGGCCGCAGAGCATAGCCCTGCGCGCGCCCGCCGGCGAGAGCAACGAGCAGAACGACGACCCCGAGAATCCCGGCCGTCAATCCGACCGGAGTGTCGTACGATCCCTCGTAGCCGACGAGTGAATCCCAAACACCGCGATAGTCGAAGTAGAACGGCAGCACATCGATGACGGCCAGCGAAGCAACGGACAGCAGGATGAGAACCCGAAGCGGACGCTCAGAAGGCGCTCGCGGGAACACTCCAGACGTGCACGCGTTGCCAGGAAGCAGGTGCAGCGTTCTCGACGACGAACCGTCCTCCGCCGCTGGATTACACATGATGTGTGTGGTGCTGTTGGTGGGCTCACGACTTGTTGGCAGCTGCACCGTGGTTGCCGATCAGCAGCAGCAGCTGGTGCATTAGCCCTGTCGCCACCGGAGGGTGCACCCGCAAAAGAAAAACTTCCTGCGCGCGCACTGGTACACCACGGGCGCCGCCTAAGCGACTCCTGCGAGGACGGCGAGGCACTTAGCTCCGTGCACTCGACCGCTCTCGCCGCAGGCAAGCTCATGTGATTTTGGATTGGAAGGACGATTAGGGGGGCACAGGGGAACGGGAGCGGGGAGCGCCTCGTGGCACGGAGAGGGGCTGGGACCCAGGTCCCAAGGCCCCAAGGGAGTCCTCTCTCGCATGTTCCGAGCCGGTTTTTACGACGGACCGTGCCGGATGTTGAGGTGGTCCGAGCGGTCCGCGCAAATGGTGCCGTGCAAGCCCCACCCGGCTGGCGGGTGGACCTAGGGGCGTGCCGTCCTGCTTGCTCTAGGTGAAACGTCTAAAGGACGAAGATGCACGGAGGTGCGACCAACTCAGCGACGACGGGCGGAGAAGTCGGGCACTATCTGTGCGATGGGCCGTTATCGTTATTTACCTATCTACCAACGTTTCCCTTTTTTCTTTTCGCACAACAACTTGCGGGACGGTCGTCCACGCGATACGATCGTCCGCAAACGGAAATCGCTCCTCGCTCAACTCACAACATGGCCTTCATGGAGTGCACCGACGAGATGTATGCTCACTATGGCGATCTCGTTGACGCAAAGGAGAAGGAGTTTGCGGAATTCCCGAAGGACTTGAAGATCAAGATGCAAACCAGCGTCACTCGAGAGGAGGTTGCGCGGCAACGTGCGGCGCTTGCCTGCTGACGCCATGTCCTGCAACCGCACTGTGCTTTCGAATAGGCGCTCAAGCGGCACGATGAGCACTGGGCGAACGCCGATCAAGACAAGGACGGCCTCCTCAACGAGGAGGAGTTTCTCGTCTTCAACCGATTGGAGTATGCGCAATGCGGATGTGAAGGCAAAATCGGGCTGGACCCCTCCGACATTCAACGAGGAGCTCTACCGGAGAGTCTGGAAAGCGCTCAAAGAGGGTGAGGAGCGCTTCATGGCCAACAAGCTTGAGGGTGGTGGCATCTCAAGAGACCTGAGCAATTGCCCGCTCCGATCCATCGCGATGTCCAGCAAGGGCGCCGGTCCATCAGAGAGAGATTTTTAGAAGCCTTCTTCCATCAGTGACACAGGCATCAGGGCAATCGTCCAGTCTCGCCCGAATCTATCTAGTGGAATTGACTTCCTTCTCGCACACACCCTTCTTTTGATTGCTTTCCGGGCCAAATCGAAGCCGCCCGGTCCAGTCACAGTGACTATCGGGTCGAGAACCTCGAGATACTCCTGTCACGCGCTCCCTTGGGTCAGGCCTTGGGCACGCCGCCACGACGCGCTCGTCCGAGTTTCGCTCCGAGCATGCTGCGCTGGCTGTCAGACCCTGTCGCCCGACAACTCGAGGCCATAGAGCTCGACCTCAAGCGTGCCCAGGCCGAGCGCCTGGAGTCGAGCGCCGCCATCGCCGCACTCACCGCGACGGCTGACGGGCTGGCCAGCCGGCTTGACACCCTCGAGCGGCCTGCGCGGCGGCACCGCGCCCGCTGCTGCGAGTTCGACGGGTGCGGCAAGGGCTTTGCATTCGGCGGCCGTCACCACTGCCGCAAGTGTGGCGGCAGCGTGTGCTCGGCACACTTTGCGCGGCCGGTCTGCCACAAGTGCCTCGCCGACCAGGCGAGGGCGCCGGTGGTCGGCCAGCGCGCGACCGTGGTGCAGGGCCACGCCGACTCACCGCCGGTCGAGGTGGACCGCGAGGCCGTCGCAGGCACGTGGAAGTGTGTCTCCGTGGAGGGCGACATGGGCGCTGTGCTCAAGGAGCACGGCTACAACATGGTGCTGCGAGGAGCCGCCCGCGCCGTAGGGTTTGGCGCTGGGGGCGCCTTCCCGCAGGTCGAGGTGCTGACGATGCCCGGCGCAGACGAGGTGCTGTGCAAGCAGAAGGACCCGGTCGGGAGCCGGATGCTTAAAATTGTGACGGACGGCGAGTGGCGCGAGAACCCGATGCCGTTCGGAGGGCCGAAGCTGACGTCAGGCGTCTGGCTTCCGGGGCCGCGAGGCCCGTTCGACACCTTTGTTGTCACGGTCCAGGGCTCCAAGCCGATGGTCTCGTCGCGCGTGCTCCTGCCCGACAACGACACCGTCCTCGAGACGGTCGAGTGCGCCGGCAAATCGGCGCAACGCAGGTGGAAGAGGCAGTAGACCAAATCATGGTGGAGAGCGCGGCGCGCTGGCCGACACGCCGAAGTGTCCCTCTCTCAAGTCAGTGTGTCGCTCATGACGGGAAGGGGGGGTACTGGGGGTAGCCTGCCGAAGTGTCCCTCTCTCAAGTCAGTGTGTCGCTCACAGTGTCCCTCTCTCAAGTCAGTGTGTCCGGCTCACATGAATATCGCGGGGAAGGGTGGGTACTAGGTACGCTTGGAGTCGCCAAGGCAAGTACCCAGCTACGCAACAACTGTAACGGGGCCATCTCGGCTGCGTGGGTGGCATTGGCTCTGGCGGCTCCCCGGGGAGCGAGACCTGTCCCTCTCGCCGCCCGTTTGTCCACTGCATGCACCTCGCTCCTCGGAGCGGCTAGTCGCGACACACACCGGTGCGTAGGAGTGTGTAGCGCTGCCGCCTGCCCCCGCGCGCTGCCTCCCGCCGGAGTGACGTGTCTTAGGCTCTTATAGCGCTTGTGTGTAAACAAAAAAAGACGTATTCTACGCGTTATGTGCCCCGCTGCGCAGTCCGTTGCGAATAAACCACGACTCGCTAGCCCGAGACACGGAGAGACACGAGCCAGAGGCGCGCTCGATCGCATCCAGGGCGTCACACCCGGGCGACGGCGAGGGCGTGCGCGCTGGAGACCCGCGTCCGCCGCGGCTGCTTGGGCGCCGCGTCGACGCGGTCCGCCCAGCCCGCCTGCTCGTCGCCCTGGTCGTCGTCGGGCGGGAAGCCCGCGAGGCCGTCGCCCGCGCAGCGCCGGGGGCCGTCCTCGGGGTGGCCGCAGTGGCAGGGGCCCGAGTCGCACTCGGGGTGGTCGCAGCAGTGGTTGCCCTCGGAGAGGCGCGCGAGCGTCACCATGGAGCGGACGCTCGAGGACCGCCGCAACGCCGGTGCCTTCTGCCTCGACAGGACGCCGTGGCACTCGCAGCAGAGGACCGAGGATAGCCATCGCTGCCGGGCCCAGGCGTGGAGGTTTTGGCGCACGCACAGCACCCACGCGTCGCGGTGCTCCTCGCTCATACACTGGAACGTCAGGTCGTTGCCGTCGCGCAGGCGGATGATCCAGCCGAACCGCGCCGAGGGACCGGCCGCCGGCATCGCGACGCCGCGGCAGACGCGCGCCGGTTGCCGCTGCGCCTTAAGCCGCTGCACCTTGACGACGTCGGCAAAGTCGATACTGTGGACGTGCGTCCCGTCCTCGTGCTGGTAGGCCAGGCTCTTCGAGTGAAGAACGAGCGCGCGAGGCTGGAAGGTCCCTTTGTTTGCTCCGAGGAAGCCGCCCCTCCGGCAGAGCTTCTTCTGGTGGGAGGAGGCGTGGAGGACGCGCCAGTACTTGTGGCGCTCCTCCGGCTCAACCGGGGCGTTCCTGAGCACCGAGAATCGCCGCAGCCGCACCATGAACCGGCAGATCGTCAGGAAGCTCCAGCAGCGCCTCTCACGCTTGTCGGGGGCGGCGGCGGCGCTGCCGCGGCGGCTCTTGCCGCTTCGCGCGGACCCGCGGTTGGACGAGAGGCGAGCCGAACGCTCCGGCGCGAAGAACGAGACCCCCTTCTTGACCGACGGCCTCTGAGCCTGCGCCGCCGTGTCGAGCGCCGCGGCTTGAGAGGTGCGTGGGTGCGAGCTGGTGGCCGACATTGTGGAGCGCGAAAGCGCGGGAGGAGCAAGGAGTTGAGGTTGTGGCCTGCGTGGAGCCAAGGTTTGGAGTTGGGAGAGGGAGCGTCGCGCGGGTCCGACCTGCGGCGTGGCGCAGCGAACCGGTAGGCTTCCGAGCCGAGGTTGTTGCCCTTGCGACGATTGGGTGCACGTGGCGGAAGGACGCACGGAGTCCTCAAGTTTGGACGGACCCCTTTTGCCGTGTTTGATCCCCAAGGCTTGAGCGTGGGAGAAACGAACTAGGCGATCGGACGGGGCCGTCCCTCAACGATTGTCCGCGACCCTGCCGCGACCTGTCTGTGGGCGAAGACCCCGCGACCCGCGCCAGAAGTGGCACAACCGTCCGGGCGTCGTTGTCACAACCGTCCGGGGCCTCAGCCTGCTCGTGGTCGTTGTCACTCTCGAGGTGAATCTCAAAGCAACAGCCGCTGTGAACTCCGTTCGAGTTCAGATTCGGTCCGTTGCGGTCTCCATTTTAGAATGACGTCGAGCACTCGCCCTGAGAAAAAGAATGCAAACGCCCGCTTCTATCGAAGGTCTCCAAAAAGTCTCAGATGACATCTCACGAGCTTACGATCTCGGACTTTGCCATCAATGCGATGGAATAGTGGTTCTTCGTGTCACCGAGGTTCGAGGGGCGTCCCAAGTTTGCGTGCAACGTTGGGACTTGCTTTCAGCTTGGGCGTCTTCCTCTGCAGCTTGGTGAGTGCGAATTTCCGCAGTGTGTGCGTCTTCTCGCTTTGATAACACGCGGATGGTCCAAACCTTTACAGCTCAGCCCCTCGCATGTTACTGCAGTGTGACACCCAAAAGGTGTTGGACAACGGTGACACGAGGGCTGGGGGTGTGAAGGGCATAACCATGGTTGCGTGCAGACAATGGAGATAGAGCAGCCCCGGAGCGGAGGCCCGCCCGGGGTATTCAGTGTGTCGCGGGCGCCTAATCGGGATTAATTCCGTCGGGCGCCTACGAATTTACGTTTGCCGTCGGTGTTTCGCAAGCGCGCCTGGCGGCGGCTTGTGCTATGCCTGCTTTGGAGCCCGACGGGAACGCGGGAGCTATGGTCTCCCACCCTCCTCCCCTATAGCCTCTCACAGTCTGGCGACAGTGGGGGGTGAGTGCGAATTTCCGCAGTGTGTGCGTCTTCTCGCTTTGATAACACGCGGATGGTCCAAACCTTTACAGCTCAGCCCCTCGCATGTTACTTCTGTCTGGGCAGGCAGCACGTCGGCGCGCCTGCGGGATGGGCAGAGGTGAAACTAGGCTTGCTGGCACGCGCATCCCGCACCACCCCCACGCCCGCGCGCGCACACCATGCCGCCGTCCCACCTCGCCACAGCCAAGCGCGCAATAACCAATATGCTCGCGTCGTTTCCGGAGAGCCCTCGCTGCTCCAGGAGCTGAGCTGTACTCTACGGGCAGGAACGCGCCCTCCGTGTGGAACACCCCGCGTCGCGACAAGCGACACACTCACATGACGACGCGAAAAGGTAACAAAAACGCGCGTTGCGTGGTCCGTGGAGACCAAAACATGAGGGAGGAAGGCGCAAGGCGGATCCCGCCACTCGAGAGTACGTGACCCGACAGGCCTCACTCCGCCAGCGATGGTGGCGCCACCTCGTCGCCCTCCCCGAACGCGTGGATGCACGCCTCGACACCGGGCAGCTCGATGACGCGCTCGTCGAGCTCGAGGTGGGGCAGTTTCCCCGCCACGGCGGGCGCCTCCGGGTTGATGAGCAGAAGCATGCCCGCGCCAGAGACGGAGAGCAGGATGAGGGGGAGCGGCCGCGAGCGGAAGGGCTCCCAGCTGCGCCGCGCGCCGTCGGCGAGGGCGCTCAGCATTTTGTGCCGGCAGGAGGCGCGGAAAGTGCTCTGCTCGGCCACGCCAGCGATGGCGGGCATGTCTGGGTGCTTGAGGTGCGCCTTTGGGGGGGGGGGGGGGGGGGCAACAGGCTCGGGCCACCCTCATCGGGTCTCGGCAGGGCAGGGAGGGGATGGAAGGGCCTCCAGGCCCCCCATCTGGATGTGAGGTCCCACCACCTCAAAGGCACCCCCCTGGGGTTCGCGCGTTTGCAGGGGAAAAAAAAGGGGCCTCAACCCCCGCAGCACCTTGACCTTCCTCGGTTCCTCTTACCCAATCCCCCCCCCCCCCCCCCACCCGCGGCTGCGCGCGCTCACCGGCCGCTGCACCACCCCCGACTCGACGAGGAGGTGGCAGAGGAAGTGGATGGCGCCGTGGAACTCGAGCTGGAAGGGGCAGCCGTACAGGCAGAGCGGCAGCTCTGCGCGCGCCTCCGCCTCGATGGCCGCCTCCTACAGCGGCCCGAGCCACGCTCAGCAGGCAGGCACACGCCACGCCTCCCTCCTCCGCGGCAGTCTCCTCGTGCTCGCGGCAGGCGGGCAGCGAGACGTGCGTCGTGCCGACCGGACCCTGCAGCGGCCCCTCGCCCTCGTCGAAGAGGGCCTTCGGCCCGACCTCGCCCGCACAGTACGCCAGCAGCGCCTGCGGACGTGCCGTGGACACATCGTGAAGCTGTTCCCGGACCGCGGCCATCGCACCGCTCGCCAGCAGCGTGATGCTACGTGCTCTCAGATCAGCTCGGGCAATCTCCCGTTAGTACGCCAGCAGCGCCTGCCTCAAGAAGACATGCGCCCTGCGGCGCGGCTCCCACACCGCGTCCGCCTAATTAGAACGAACCATTCATTCGGATCGATCAAGGTCAACACCGGAGGCTCCCAAACCGCGTCCGCCGTCGCGTCGTCGTCGTGCTGCTGGCTCAGCTCCGCCTCGAGCTCGACCACCTGTAGGAAGGCCCCGAGAGGTGGCCGAGACTCCTCCTCGCTCACCTCCGCCTCGAGCGCGGAGCACCCTCCGCCGGCGGCTCCACCCGCACCGCCCGTTCTCGTGCTCCTCGACCGCCGCCTCCGCCCACCCGGGCCGCCGCGCATAGTACGCGTCCGTCCCTCGCGGCCCGTGCCACACACGCAGCGGCGGCAGCGGCAGCAGCGTGCGGGCGTACGAGAAGCCGTGCGGCGGCGAGCGCGGGTGGCGCGGCTCGACGAGGAGGAGCGCCGGCAGGCGGCGGGCGGGGTCGAGAGTGACGAGCTTGGCGATCGATGTTGCCGCACACCCGCCCGGGAGCGGCACCGGCTCGGCCGACGGGTCTCCGCCGACGCGCACGCGGACAGAGGACGCCCGGAGGGTGGTGGGGAGGGGGAAGCGGAAGGTGAAGACCTGCCGGAGGGGCGAGAGGGCCAGGGACGGCCATCGGGGAGAGCAGAGGCGTGTGTGTGCAAAGGGATGCGGGCGCGCGGGCACCGGATAGCGGTCTGCAAATGCGGCGCAAGCCCTCGAGATGAGGACGAGGCAAGGCTCGGACTCGTCCGCAAAGGCAACCTCGAGCTCGATCCCGCGGATGATCACGCGGCACGGAGGCCGGACCGGCTGTCTGCAGCACGGACAGAGGGCCTGCCGCGGAAGCCATTCCTCGATGCACCCCTCGTGGAAGCGATGGCCGCACCGCAGCGTCCGGATGGCCTCACCGTCGGACTGGCCGTCGACGAGCGCGGAGAGGCAGATGGTGCACACCTCAGCCTCCACGGCTTCAGGCTGTGCTGGATCGGGACGGCCGCGCTTTACGCCGACCGTGGCGCGGGAGGCGGACAGGCTGGACGCCGCCGTGTCTTGGCTCGAGGAAGCATCCATCGTCGGCGTGTTTGGGCGGGTGGGCGCATCCAACAGCTGCGCATCCATCGCCGTCGTGTCTTGGCTCGAGGAGGCGGCCGTGTCGGGCGCATCCATTGTCACCGACGTACGACAGTTGCGGGCTTGGTTGACCAGGGATGGTCGACGACACCGGCACTGTGCCTGGGTTCGGGCTCCCTTGTGCTGCGGAGTGACTGAAGTCGGACCCCACGGTCTTGTCGAAAATAAAACACCGAACGGGAGACGCCAAGGGATCTGCATGCTCTCTAAGGTCCGACCTGCGAGCACCGCCTGCGCTCGGCACCGGGCACCGCCTCGGTATTCAAAATCTGCGGCCCGCGGGCCGACCCTCACAGCTCACAGCTCACATTGCCCGGCTCGCGCCGCTACGCCCCTTGGTACGCTTGCCGGGTACAACCGACCAAGGCAGCCGCCCCTCATCAGCCAGTCTTGTACGTGCCGTCGACCACGCAGCCGTCGATCCAGTTGGCGCCGCGCGGGAAGGTCACGTTTTGCAGCGTCTGCGTGGCGGTGAAGCCGAGGCAGGTGGCCTGCGCGGACGAGGCGCAGCCGCTCGCCGTCGAGGCGGTGCCGAGGATGGCGATCGGCGTCCCTGTGCGGGCGCGGCGGGTGGAGGCTCGGCGGGCGCTCTCGGAGAGGGAGGGGCGCTGGAGATGACTCGGACCGAGAAAGGGGTTGTCAGAAAAGTCTGGCACGACTCCGACAAAAGTGCCGGTCGCGCCGCCGATGGAGAGGGAGAGCGCCGCATCCGCCTTGAGGTTGTCTAGGCTCGGCGGCTCGACAGCGGGCAAGAGTCCGCTCAGGGCCACACGGCCGCCGCGGAGGCCGGCAAAGAAGGCTAGTCCACAGCCGGCTCCCACGCCCGCGGCGGCCTGCGTGTGGAGAAGGGTGGCAAACAGATTGGAGGTAGAAGGTGGGCGGGTGCGTTGAGGCGGGAAGCGCCTGCGCGAACGGCGCCGCATCGAGAAGGTTGCAGATTGGCTGCCAGGCAAAGCCAGACAGGAAGGTGGCGCAAGCGAGGTGGACGCCGGTCTGGAGCTCACGCGACATGCTGATGCCGGCGCCGGGGAAGCACGCAGCCTTGGCTGCAAAGTAAACACTGTGCCTATGGAACGAGCTTATAACGTGTCATCGAGGGCCGTGTCTGAGGATGGCTTGTAAAGGACACGCTTTGCCCGAGAAGGACGGCCGAGGAGTCGCCCGCCCCGGTCAGCAGAAAGTAACCGACGTCAGTGCTCGCAAAGCCGGCGTCGGCTGCGAAGGCGTTTGACGCCCACCAGCCGGCCCCGGCCGGACCAATTTTGGAGACGCAGACTTCAGCCATCGTCGTGAAACGAGTGGTGATGCTCGACGATGCGACGGCGGCGGTGGTGCGGTCCGGCAGTGACGAGCGGTGGCGTATACAGAGGGCTGCGGGAAGATGCCGCACGGCAGCAGTGGGCCGGAGCGCTGCGGACATACACAAGTGTTGGCCGACCACCATTCACTGTTCCCCTTCAATATTAATTCAAAAAATTTCCCTGAGAAGAGAGAGAGATGCGCTATTACAGTTTTCTTTCTTTCTTTCTTTTATTACAGGAGTAGGCCGCGCGGTCCACGCCCCCTCGCGTTTGCGCGCGAGGCGGGGCCCAGCTTCTCTTCTTTGTTTGAGTTGTCGTTCGTTCGGAGAGAGAGATTTTTAGCAATCAATACCAAACTTTTGTTTCGGAGAGAGAGAGAGAGAAGCTCAGCCTGAAGGAGCCGAGGATCAGCCTGAAGGAGTGCGCCCCCCTCCCTGGAAGCGATGTGCGCCTGCTCAGGAGAAGGAGAGAGAGAAGAAAAAAGACAAAAAATGGGCCAGAACATCGGCCCCCGCCCGTGAGGTGGATGCTAGCATGAGCCCGATGCGTCGCAGTGCTCTTGCGTTTCGGCGGTGGTAGTGATCTGATCACCAGAATGCCACGTTCGGATCGCTTCTCATCGCAAACAAAACAACAACAAACTCTCTCTCAAACAACCCCGTCAGCAGTCCTCGCGGGAAGGAATGTACGTAACAGGGAAAAAACACGACGAAAAAGGGAGAAAGGTGACCCGCCGCACAGTCCTCGAGCCGCTGTTTGGGGAGCAAGGCGTCTCTTAGTTTATGCCGCCTCAATTCAACATGAGGTGCTCGTCAAGTCATTACGAAACAAGGAGACGAACCTTATCGCGTCACGCCTGGCAGGGCTAGCGGTTGCGGCGTCGGCCTCTCTGAGACTCCACTCCTCATGGAGCTGGAGCAGTCCGAGTTCGAGTGGTGGCTGGGAGACTACCTGCGCGAGACCGATGACGAGACGACGACAAGGAATCCGGCGCCCGCCGCCCCTCTCAGTGCAGCAGCGCTGTTGCCATCTTTGCAGCCACGCTGCCGCCAAGAGTCTGCCCCGCTTCGCAAGGCAGAGTGGCGCGCGGTTGAGGACCTGGTCATCTTGGCGAGCTACCGCAAGTACGGCACGCAGTGGTCTCGCATCGCAGCGCAGCTGCCTGGCCGCACCCCTGACGGCGTGCGCAACCGCTGGCATCGACTGCAGCGGCGGCACGGCCTGAGCGATTCAGTGGGAGGCCGTCGAGCCCTGGACGAGCTGCTCCTCTCCTGTGGCGTCGAAAAGGACTGGGTGCCGCCGGCCGAGGCCCTCCATTTCATCGAAACCGAGGACGACGACGCCGACGAAGTTGAACTCGGCCGCACGATGTGGACAGAGGAGGAGGACGCGCTCGTGCTCGAGGGGGTGCGGACGCACGGCTTCAAGTGGCGGCTCATCGCGGCCAAGCTGCCTGGGAGATCCGACTCGTCCGTTCGCAACCGCTGGCGACGCCTCCCCGAGGCCAAGCTGCCTCGTCCAGGCCACATCTTGGGGGGAGGGGTGGCGGCGCTCTCGCCACTCGGCCGCTTCACTACAGCGCCCACCTTCTCGGTGGTGCCTCGGCGGGCGCCGGCGCAACTCCCGCCACCGCTGCAGCTGCCCGGCTCTCCAAGCGGCGTCCCATCCCACCACGGCCGTGAGGACTCTGTGGACTCAGACTTTGTCGACCTTGTCCACGCGGCGGTCGAGGAGTGGACGCCACTGACCAACTTCGCGCGCAGGGCTGCGGCGGCCGGCTCGCCGCCGGCGCCGCATGCGGCAGGTCAGTCCGGCCCCGACTGCTACACAGACGAGGACAGGCCGCTGGCGTTCGAGACCGGGGCGGTGTGCCCCATGCCGCCAGAGGCGTTGCGCGCACCCGAGGCGAGGACGGTGGGGGTTCCCATGGAGAGGCTGTCGCCCTTGCGCGCCTCCACGGGCGAGATGCTGCCGAGGGACGCGCCGGCGCTGGCGCGCTCCTTCTCGTCTCTCTCGGCGTTGGGCTCATCCTCCACAACCATGTCGACGTTGGGCTCGACCTCCGCTGCGACGGCCACGTCGGACAACGAGGAGCCTGACGACGCCACCGGAGCCATTCCACGCGGCAGCGGGCGCAAGCGCTTCCGGCCGATGTGGACGGCCGAGGAGGACGTTTTCATCGTACGGTACGTCGAGCAGCACGGCCGGCAGTGGGCCAAGATCGCGGGTCTGATGGAGAACCGCTCCCACCGCGCCGTCCGCAACCGCTGGCTGCGCATGCAGAAGGGCCAGGCCACACGCGAGAGCCGCGGCCCTGACGACGGCTACCGCTGCCGCCGGTGCGGCGAGCTCAAGCTGGGCCACATTTGCGCTGCTAGCCTGCCGAGGCTGCCCTCGCCACCCCAGTTCTGCCTCTGAGCTGTGAATGCAGAATGTGGTGCGTCGGCCCGGGTTTTGCAGCCCGAGACCGTGCCCGACGAGTGCCTGTAGACTCTCTTACGTTCGCATGGAGTGGGAGAGAGGGAGAGGGAGGGAGGGAGGGAGGGAGGGAGGGAGGAAGAGAGAGAGAGAGAGAGAGAGAGAGAGAGAGAGAGAGAGAGAGAGAGAGAGAGAGAGAGAGAGAGAGAGAGAGAGAGAGAGAGAGAGAGAGAGAGAGAGAGAGAGAGAGAGAGAGAGAGATTCTTGGGTGCTCTTTTTGAGGGGGAGGGAATGGATGGATGGGCTTGGGAATGTGTGAATGTCAACTGAGATGCAGCATGCATGCATGCCTCTGTTCAGTTAGTTAGTTAGCTTGAGAGATGTTTATGGTGTGCGTTTGTCAATTGTCGAGAGAGAGCGAGACCGAATCGCTTACTCGTTCGGGGAGCCCAAGGCCAAGGGTCCTCAGCAGATCTGCCGAGATCAAGGAGCTGTCACGCTCCGATAGGAAGCCGCCGCGGCGGCTGTCGGTCCTTGAGAAAGGATGGCCGATCGCGTCGGTGCGCGCCTGCGGAGCCTCTCGCACGCCACGCTCCTTGAGATCATCACGCAGCAGGCGGGCGCGAGCGAGGACGCACTGCGTATCGCCGAGTCGTTTGCGACAAGCCTCATCCCTGCGCCCGAGTGCATGTGCGAGGTCCTCCTTTCTCAAGATCTGCTGCCGCACATCCTCAGCCGGGTGCCGAACAGATCGCACATCTGCAAGGCGACCTGCAAAACGTGGCGCCGCGGCTGGAAGGACACGCTGGTGCGACGTCGCAGTGCGCTGCGCCTCGCCCCACTGAATCCCTGGAGTGCTGAGACCATCTGCTCTTTCGCTGCCCTGGACGGCGACCGCCTGCTTGTGCTGTGGGAGGACCGCGGGGGGAAGGAGCGGCTCAGCATCGTGGACCAGCAGCTCCGCGGATCACAGGGCTCCGTGGAGGTGGACATGCCTGGCGACATCAATCGCCTCACCGTGGGGAACGGCTCATTATACATCTCGCACGATAGTGGCGTGCGCCGCATATCGCTCGAGGGTCCGTGCGCGCTAGCGGCGCACCGCGTGCTCGCCACGTTCGAGGAGGACGGACGCATGCTGTACGAGATGCTCCTCTCACCGGATGGCAAGCTGCTGTTTGCTGCCAACATGCCCGACCGGCCGGACGAGCCGATCATCGCCTTTGACGCGCTCTCCCTGCGCGTCCGCTCCGAGTTTGGCCGCTCGGCGTTTGGTCAGCAGGCGGGCGCATACGCCTTTGGCCTCGCCGTGATGCATACCGAGTTGTTTGCTGGACACCAGGACGCGAACCGCATACACGCCTTCACGCTCGAGGGCCAGCACACGCGCACGATCCGCGGCGAGTGGAGCGCGCCGCAAGACCTGTGCTCGATCAACGAGCGACTCTTCCTCGCTGCGACGGCTGCCACGGCAGCGGAGGCGGGGTCGAGCGAGGCAGGAGCTATCTTCGAGATTGGCGCGGACGGGCGCGTGCTGCAGACATTTCAGCACCAGGCGATGCTCCCACGGTGCGATATGCTGCGCAGGATGATGTCTCGACACACACATGTCACGGCATGCCCCATAGGCGATGCTTGGAATCGCGATGGCCAAGTTTGGAGGGCTGCTCATCGCCTCGCTAAGTCCGCCGCACGCCCGTCGGGGGGCACAGCAGCGACTGATTGCTCTGCAGGGGGCGAGCTGAGGCCTGACTTTGTCTTTGAGGGACAGGACCGCCGGGGGGGCGGTGCATCTGCCATGAGTCGGATTACTGTCGACGCTCTCCTGTACAAGATCTCCTGCGTGCATATACGAGTGCAGTTTGTCGTTGTGGACCTCGGACCTGTGACGTGTGAGCGTGAGCTGACTGTGTGTTAATCGTGTCGGATTCGGCCGTAGCGGATCCCTTTGTGGCATAAGGCACAGCCTCGAGTGGCACAGGAGGGGAGAGTTCGAGAGAGCTTTTGTGCACACACCGCACACTCACGCCGAGCCGTCTAAGGCACTTTAAGGTCCAGTCCGAGCTGCAGACGGCGAGAGAGAGGCGGAGGGGGCGGCGGCGCGAAAATGTCTCTTGCCCTCTCGCGCCGATTTTGTATCATACGCTTTTAGCGAGAGTAGTAGTGATTTGATTGATTGCGGATGAACAACATCTCCACTAAGGTCTAAGCGACGTACATACCACACCGAATCCTGCCTTGCGACCGCCCTGACCCGCACTACTACGCTGTGGCCTCTGTCGTCTCCACCTCCGCCATCTCGCCGAAAAGCCAACCACCCCAAGCGGCCCAAAGCCAACCACCCCAAGCGGCCCATCGCCGCAGCACGGTGCCCCCACGCCGCCGGCGCCGCAAAACGACACGCACCGCGGGGTGCGCGAGGCGTGGGTGGGGGCGGGCCGGAGCAACTAGTCGCACTCGTCCAACGCCGGCGCGGCTTCGGAGAGCCACGGGTGCGCGAGCATCTGCGCGGCGGTGGCGCGCTTGCTCGGGTCGAAGTCGAGCATCGGCAGGATGAAGTCGGCGAGCGCCTGCGCCTCGGCGCGCGCAAAGTCGTACTTGTCGGCGAGGACGTCTGCGAGGCCCCACGGCTTGAGCTTCTTGATGTTGCGCAGCTCGCCTGCCGGGCGGACACGCACCGTCAACGAGCGGCCGCGCGTGGGGCCGCCAGACGCCGCGGCGGCTCGCCGGTTTTGTTGAAGAAGTCCTTCGCGTGCGTGCCGCTCGCAGAGAGCTTGCGCGGCATCCGGCCGAGCAGCTCGACCATCAGCGCCAAGTGGTCCTCGTCCCTCGACCACCGCTTCCCCGCGCGAGGGTTGAAGAGGACGTCGCCGACAGCCGCCTCGAAGACAACACACGCGGCCGACCAGACGTCGCTCGCCGTGTCGTAGCCCTGGCCGAGGATCACCTGCGGGGCGGCGCAAGGAGGGGCGCGCGGTTGAGCGAGGCGGGCACGCGAGGGCGGGGCGACGCGTCGATCGAGCGCGAGGTGGTTCAAAGGGCAGCGTTGGGCGGAGAGAGCCGGGGGCGGCGCCGCGCCTCAGGGCAGCGATACTGCCGCGTCTGGATGTCGTCGGTGAACTTGTGGTCCCGCCAGCAGCCGTTCCCCAAATCGGCGAGCTTATACCCGCCACCGCCGCCGCCGCCTGACGCCCTGCCAGCCCGGCCGCCGCCGCCGCCGCCGCCGCCGCCGCCCGCCTCCCCTTCCGCTGGGGCCGAAGGCCTGGGCGGCGGCGCGGAGGGCGGCGCGGCGGAGAGCGACAGCTTCTCCACGCCGCGCAGCAGCCCCTCGTCTTCCCCGGAGCAGGCCTGCTCCTCCCCGGCCGACGACTCGGCCGGGGCAGTGCAGGCTGTCCCGTCCTCCTCCTGCACCGCTCCCGCCGCCTCGGCCTCGGCCTCGCCGCCGCCCCCCTCGCCGCCGCCGCCCGCCTCGTCGCCCGAAGCGGCGAGCGCCGTCGTCGTCACCGCCGCCGCCGCCTCCCCCTCCCCCTCGCACCTCTGCTCGGCCGCCGCCGCGGCGACCGCCTCGCCGCACCCCGCCTCTCCCGCCTCCCCCTCCTCGCCGCCCCCCCGCCGCTGCGCCTGCTGCCGCTTGCGCTCGCGCTGGCGCGCCTTCTTGCGCGCGTTCCGGCTCTTTGCCGCCGAAGCCCCCTCGCCGCCGCCGTCGCCCGCCGCCGCCGCCGCTGTCCTCGCGCCTGCCGCCCCCGCCGCCGCCGGACTGCGCGGTCTGGGCGGGCGGGCGGCGAGGCCGTCGCTCGCTCTCCTCGCCTCCGCGGCGATGGCGGCGTGCTCGACGGCCGACGGGACCGCGAGCACGTTCTCCGGCTTAACGTCAGTGTGGATGATGCCTGCCGCACAGGGGGAAGGAGGGAGGGGGAAGGAGGGGTGAGCAGGCGCCGCTCGCGGCTTGCTCGGCGCTCTGTGCGGAGCCGGGCGGCGCCTTCAGCGTGGATGGCGGCGAGGGCGGCGAGCAGGTCACGCGAGAGGCGCCGCACCTGCAGCGAAGGTGCAGGGAAGGTGCAGGGAAGGTGCAGGGGGAAGGCTGCAGGAAGGTGCAGGGAAGGCTCTCTAGGAAGTGCAGGGAAGGTGCCGGGAAGGCTCTAGGGATGCGGCGAGGACACACCTCCGGCAACGGGAGGCCGCGGTAGGAGGTCGCCTTGAGCAAGTGCAGCAGCGACGCGCCAAGCACCTCAAAGCACATCACCTGTCCAAGGGCGGCGGCGGTGACGGCGGCGGCTGGACGGCGGCGAGAGCGGCGGCGGCGGCGGCGGCGGTGGCGGCGGCGAGGGCAGCGGCATTGGAGTGTGGTGGTAAGGGCGGTGCCCAAGGTGGCGGCGCCGGTATGGCAGTGGCTGGTGACAGGGGCGTGAGCGGCGGCGGTGGCAAGGCCGGCGGTGGCGAGGGCGGCGGTGGCAAGGGCGGCGACAGCTAGGGCTGAGAGGCGGTGGCGGCGGCAGCGGGATCACCTGGTGCGCCCCGTGCCGCCCGCGGTGGACAAAGTGGTCGAGCAGAGTCACCACCTTGGGAGGCCCGGCCGACAGCTGCGCCGCCACCACGGCCGCCGCCGCCGCGTCCACCCCCTCGATCGCCGCCGGCTGGTCGGATCGCGGCTCTAGCCTGCGGTGCGCCAGCGCCTCTCGGACCTGCTTCAGGAGCTTGATCTCGTCGCGCGCGGTCTCCGAGTAGCGTGCCGCCGACTTTTGCACCTTGAGCGCAACCGGACGCTCCTCGCGCCTGTCCCACGCCAGCCACACTGTCGAGAAGTGGCCCCAGCCGAGCTTGCGGGCGGCGATGTAGCGCGAGGCGTGGAAGGGCTCGCCGGGCTCGACGGGATGATAGCCGCCGCGGCGGTAGTCGCGCTTGTCCTCAACGTCCGACTCGTCAGAGGACTCGTTGGAGGACGGCGCCATGCTTGTGCGGGTGATGGGGATGCACGACGCACGCAGGCAAGCGAGAATGAAGATTTTGTGCTCCACGACAGTCAGCGCGTAGTCCTCTGACTGCCTCCCGCTAGTTCCCGGGGAGCGACGCGCTCGGGAGTGGCCCCATCCATCCACATGCATGCGTCAAACAAACCCGAGACCTAGCGCGGGTGGGTTGGAGGGGGCTTGCTGCGAGGAAGGGCGTGTAAGAAAGAAGCCGATCCCCCGTACGTAGTTAGTCCACCCCACTCCCCCCATCGGGCCGCTCGTGAGCGGCCCCGCCTCGCAGATTCGTTTCTCGCGCGTGGGTCAGGCGCGCGGGGCATACGCCGGGTCGCTCGACCAGCGATCCGAAGAGTGGCCGCTATGCGAGGGAAAGAGCGGGGCCCCTCGGCGCCTCCGTCCGGCCCTCCGAGGGGAATTGCGGGGTCCCCGCGGCGCCTCAATCTGGCGCTGCCGAGAGGGGGCGGGGCGGGGGAGGGGTCACGCCTCACACCACCACTCCACACTCACTCGCGCAGGCACTTGAGTAGACCCCCCGCATGAGGGCTCACCCCCCGTCCTCCCAGGGTTCCGACCCCCCTTGATTCGCTCTCTTGCTCGTCTCACGAGCGTCATGCGACGGCCGGTGTGGCCGTTTCCCTCGTTGTTGGTGTCGCTTCCTTCGCTGCCGCCCTTCATCTTCGCCAGCTTTTCCCGGCTCCACCGACTCCGAGGGCGTCGACGGCCCGGCCGGGGTCTCCCCGGGCGAGGGCGGCGGCAGCGTGTCTCGTCGCCACCCCTCCCCGGGAGGTCGGGCCGGCTCTCCCTGGTCGGCGAGTCGCGCCCGCATCCGCGGCCTCTCTATCGTTCTCGGCTCGCCCTCCCCCTCCGCCGGCTCCTCACTAAGCTCGGGGAGGCGCGGTCCCTCTTGTCGTAGATCACGGCGGTCCAGCCGCCGCCGCGACGGGTCTACCCCCTGTGGGTTCGCACGGCCCGACTCCACTCGCAGAGGCCGAGTCAGCTCGACTCTCACCTCCCTCGACAGTTGACTCCAGGCCTCACCCGGGGCCCTCCGGTCCCGGCCTTCCGGTCCGCCGGCTGACCCGCTGTCTCCCCACGGCACCCCCCCCCCCAAACGGACCCCTCCCCCGGGTACCTCAGCTTCCGACAGGGCGGCTCCGGGCTCCCCGGGCTCCGCGCGTGTCGGAGTGGTGACGGCCACGCCGGCGGCGGGGGTGGAGGCGGTGGCGGGGGTGGCGGGTACGGTGGCGGCCCTCGCGGCCGTGACGCCTGGTGTGGAGCCCCAGCGGCGACCCCTCGACCCAGCGGCCGCTCCAACAGTGGAGGCGGAGGCGGTGGTGGGGGCGGCGGGCCTGGTGGCGGTGCCGGCAGCCGTGTCGCCTCCGGCTGCAGCGCACCGCAGTGGGCGCTCCGGCTACGCGTGCGTGTGGCTATGCTCTTTGAGTCACTCCTCCGTCGAACTTTGCTGAGTCCTCACACGCGACTGAAACTCCAGGGCGTCACGCGGGGTCCTCGAGCGGGGTCCCGATGTCTTGAACGTTTGTTGAGCGCGCCTCGTGTCACACGTCAGAGGCCACAGGGCCGTCTTGGCGGCCTGGCGCTTTTGCGTCTCCCGGCTCAGAGCGCTACGACACAAGCCGTGGCGAGCCAAAGACGGGGTCATCCACGCCGTGCTTGCGGTGGTCGTAATTCTTGTACACGATCACGGTGAAACGCTGGCCGCGGAAGTCGTGGGTGACCACCTCGTGAGGCAGCCTGCCGTCGAACTTGGCCACGCGGCCCTTGGTGTCGAGGTCGACCCACTCCGTCTTGGCGCGCGAAGTGTAGCAGCGCAGCATCGCGCCCGAAAATTTTCCCAGCGCGAGCGCATACTGGTACGAGATGTCGCCCGCGTCCACGTGGCAGCCGACGCGAGCCGACGTCTCGTCCATCAGCGCAAACTGCACGAGGAACTCGCCAGCGGCGTAGTCGGCGTCGATCGCCTCGAGCAGCTGCCGAGCCAGCTCATACGCCTGGAACTGCAGCTGTGAGATCTTCCGCGCGGCGAGCTGCGCGTCGACTGGCCGCACGTGAAAGGCGATGTTCTTGGTGGGGTGCTTGACAAAGCCGGGCAGGCCGTTCTCGAAGTGGCAGATGAAGCCTGGGTTTGTCGAGCCGGTGCCGATCGTGAAGTCGCCCTTGAGGTCGAAGCTGTTGGCGCTGCGGTGCTGCTTGTTGAAGAGCTCGCGCGCGTGTCGCGTGAGGAAGCTCTCAAGCTCGTGCTTGAGGCCCGCCACGATCGGCTCAGCTGGCATGACGCGGCGGCGGCGCGCGTCGACAGGTGCACCCTCGTCACGGTTGCGGAGGCGCCCGCCCCACTTGCACAGCCGTGCGTCGAGAGGGTACGCGCCACTCGGCTTGCGAGCGGCGGTATCGCCGGCGAGCACTGTCTCCAGCCGCTTCTGCTCCTCCTCCAGCACCTCCTCCTCCTCCATCTCCTCAATCACCTCAGCGTTAGCGGGTGCCGAGCGTTGCACTGCAGAGCCCCGGGTTCGCCCGCCAATTTTACGCTGCTCCATCTGAGTGAAGTCGATCTCGTAGGCATCGCCGCGAATTGAGAAAATCGCGCGGCCGTCGCGGCAAGTCGCGTCGCCCTGAACCGCCGGCGCTGCCTGCCAGGCCGCCTCAATCGCGCTGCTGATCGCCTCGTCGTAGAGCTTGAACGCGCCGGTTGTTTTGACTGACCACATTGTGGATGTCGGTGGCGATTTGCGATTTTGAGCGTTGGTATCTCGGCTCGTGCGGCGCTCGGCTCGTGCGGCGCTCGGCTCGGGCGGCGCAGGCGTGAGTGAGGTACCGGGCGTGCTTGGCTGGCCAAGAAATTTTTTTTGCTATGCCGGCGGGAGGGATAGCCCTCGGCGATGAAATCCCTGTTTGGTGGCGGCGTGCCGTCCTCCCATCCCTTTCTCTCTTTTCTTCTGCGGCGCGCTGTGCCTCTGTGTTCGTGCGTCGCCCATCTCCCTGGAGATGGCTGCTCTATCTATTATTATTATTTATGCCTGCGGCGGCCTCTCTCTCGAGAGTGCAAAGCTGCGGCTCATTGATTGTGAGCCCACCGTGCCCTTGCTCCAAACATCGAAGGCTACATGTACATGTAGCTCGCAAAGAATTTTTGAACAACCGAACTCTCTCGCACAAACACTGGGCACGGGGCTGGCGCGCACTGGCACACTAACGCAGGTACACCACACAGGAACGATGAACAAAGAAAAGTTCGCCCTTTTTGGAGTTTTCCGCTTTTCGGGCTCGCTACCACCACCACCATGATGAGGAGGCAGGGGTTTACAATCATGCCGCTGGGGGGCTGGCGACGGTGTCCCCTACCTCAACACTTTAGTATACACGTACTAGACACTCATCCCCCCACTCGACACTCAAACTCGACACGCCCCCCCCCCCCACCACCTCAGATCCACGTCGACGAGGAGACGCAGCGCTGCTGCTCAAACACAAAGCTCGCGTTGGTCACCGGGTAGTCGCGCGTCTCCGCAGAGCTGGCAAAGAACTCCGACGTCTCCGCCCAGAGCTGCGTCAGCTCGACCGCCATCGAGCGGAGCGGCTGCGCGTAGCCAAGGGCCTGGGAGCGAGGCATCGAGGCCACGATGAGCATCTCGTTCTCGACCGAGGTCTGCTTGTTGCCCGCTTCGGCAAAGGGGAGGTCCTCCGGCCAGTCCACGCGCAGGTCGAGCATCTTGAGCGGGCCCGGGCTCGCGCTCAGCCCGAGGAACGCCCCGCGCTCGTGGTTCGGCACGTCGATCGGCGCCTTGCACTCGGCGACCGTCGACTTACTAAAGACGGTGATGACGGCCGAGGCGACCACGTCGAGGAAGAAGGCGGTGCCAAAGGCACTAGGGTTGGTCGCGCCGGGGCGGAGGAGGGCGGCGGCGTCCTGCCTCTCGAGCTCTGCCCAGAGGAAGTTAATTGAAAAGGTCATCGCGTGCTCGATGCCCACCATCTGCGCCGAGATGGACGGGAAGTGCGGCTCGATGAGCTCGTGCAGCGGGGAGCCGACGAGCTCATCCATGCCGAGCGGCTCGGCGAGGCGATGGGTGTAGTCGGCGACGGCCTGGTCCGGGAGGATCACGCGGTTCTTCTCGTCGCAGACGATTTGCTGCGCACGCTGCAGCGTGGTGGCGAAGAGCATCCGCTCGTCCTCCGGCACCGCGTCCCCGCGCGGCGAGTGCCGCGAGGAGTTGCAGGGGTCCGTGAGCAGGGGAGCGAGCACATGTTTCTTCCAGGCCTTAAGGTCGTCCGCGTTGACGCCGCGAGAGCCGAGGCCGCTCACCTCGACGAGGGTCGAATCTGCCGCCCAGTTGATGGCTGAGGTCTGGTTGCCGCCCGGGTTCAGGAGCCGGAAGACGGGGTCTTGCGACATGTCGTGCCGCCCGACGGCGAGGTCCTGGCTCGCGTATGCCATCGACTCGGAGACGACGTGAAGTGCGGCGTGGTAGGTCTGGGCGCCGTTGTGTGCACAATGGACCAGCGGCTGCAGCCACTCGGGCCTGAGCGTGCCTTTCTTGTACTGCGCCTCGCGGCCGAGCGGAGTGAGCGTGCCGTTGACCATCTTAAACTCGAGTCGCCCGCTCCGCGAGCCGCCGCGCAGGTAGGTCGATGATTCGTCGGGCTCCTTCTCGTCGGGCGTGATGATGTGCAAGAGGATCGGCGGCGCCTTGCCCTGCTCGTTCAATTCACTCAGGTGGGTGTAGTTGCAGGAGAAGTAGTAGATCTCCTCGGTCTGGTCATACACGAGCAAGTGCGACATCCACGAGTTTTGGAAATAGTTTGCGAGCCGGCTGAGGATGGGGAAGGCCGGGTCGTTGCGACGGAGGTCGATCCCGGCGCCTCCGTAGTACCACTTCTCCACATATGCAGCAAAGTCGTCGGGCGTCGGCGTGAGTTTGATGGCCAGAGACACGTCTCCAAATGGGCTAAAGACGTCGGGATCGGTGTAGCTCGAGAACCGCGAGATTAGATCCACGTCTTTGCCGATGCCGTTGACGAGGTTGAGGAGCTCAGCAATCGCATCCTCCGTGACGGGATTCGTGCTGAAGAAGGTCTTCTGCACGATGGGCCGCTTGATGACCCAGCGCACGACGGCCGCAAAGATCGAGTCTGGGGCACGCTGACCGCCGATTGAAGGCGTCAGCAGGTAGGGCGCGGTGATCCACCAAAGGTTGCCAAGCTGCTGCGGGTCCTCAAGCAGGGTCATCAGTAGGTTGATCAGGCCGCGGTCCTCGAGCATATCGAAAAACTTACGTGCCGACCCGCTCAGCAGCGACGGCGTGTGAGCGGCATCGCGGAGGTCAACGCCGCCGAGCTTGCGCATGAGCGTGTCGGGCGAGAGGCCCACGCTGTGCGTACACGGCAGCCGACCCGGGGTCCGATCGACGAGCCGACAGAGCTGACCGGCCTCGTCGTCGGAATCGCATGCGCTGAGGCAAGCCTTGAAGAGATCGCTGTCCTTCAGCAGGAACGCGTGGCAGATTGGCGGGCCAGCCTTGGCTGGGCAGATGAAGGACTCGACCTTATCCCGGCCCAACACATAGACGCCGAGGAGGATGCCGAGAGTGACGGCGACGAGGCCGACGAGGACGGCCACGCAGCAGTGAACGCGCACGCAGCAGCGGCGGAATGGCGACGGCTTGCGCTGGATGCCACGAGGCTCGACCGTCGCCTTCTCGGGGTCCAGACCGTCGCCTTCTCGGCCCAGCTCGATCACGCTGGCAGCGGCTTTGAAGGTGTCATCGGGAGTCGACAGGAAGGTGGCGCCCGAATTTTGGAAGGAAGTGATGGCCACACGCACGAGAAAAAAATCCTCCGCCTTCCAAGTGCTCTTAGTGCAGGCTGCGAGGTTTTTGTCTCGTGAGAATAGCTAGTCAACAAGGCAACGTAAATCCCTCGATGAACTACGTAAGTAAGTGGGCAAGGACCTCGAGCTAGAGAGTGCCCGCTAGTGGTCGGGCAAGCGGTCTGCCCTGACAAACGCATCTGGCCGCTGCCGCTTGATCAAGAGCGCGTCGAGCACCTGACGAACGGCGCGGCGGCCGCGCGTGGTTGGCGGCTGGACTATGGAGCTGCTGCACGCGTGGAGCGGGGAGCAGGAGAAGGGGGCGGTCGCAGGGTTCGGGCGAATGCCGCCTGTTTCGCGACGTTGCCGCACTTTGGGATGCAGCCGTCCATGCCGCAGCGGCGGTAGTAGTCCTGGTCCGCGTCGGCTGTGTTTGCCGAGCGCGCGAGGATGCAGGTCTGCGGCCAGCCGTGCTGCCGCTCGAGGGTGCGCAGCTGCTTGACCGCCTGTGGTGGGGGCGGGGTTGGTTCGGGTTGGTGGGTGGTAGGTGGTTGTTGGTGGTGGTGGTTAGGGTGAGGGTGGGCGGGTGGTGGCGGGTGATGAGGGGAGAGGATGACCAAGTCGCCCGTCAGCACGGGCATCTGGATGTCCATCAGGATGAGGTCGAACTGGGGCGGCTCCTCGTGCCTCCGCTCGAGGTAGACGGCGATGCCCTGCTCGCCATTCTCGGCGGTGACGACCTCGCAACCGGGCGACTCCGCCTCGAGCGCGCACACGGTGACGGCGCGCACAAACTCCTCGTCGTCGACCACCTGAGAGAGCGAGATCGCTCGAGATCTCCCGAGATCTCCCCAGATCGCCCGAGATCGCCCGAGATCGCCCGAGGGCGGGGCGGCCATCTCCTCCCTCGCCCCTCACCAGCACGTTCCGCAGCGTCGCCGGGGGCGCCACCCCCGCCGCCGCACCCGCACCGGCGGCGGCGGGCGGCTCCGCGTCGGCGCTCGGCCAGCACGAGACCACGATGCGAGCGGTCACGACGTCGCCTCGCGCCGTCAGCTGCAGCGGCGGGCAGCCGAGCAGGCGCAGCATCGCCGCCACGTGCCGCAAGCCGAGCCCGTGCCCGCCCCATCTGAGAAGAACAAGGAGGGGTGCTGACCAGTGAGAATGCGAACGCTGGCCAGGCAGCGGTAGCGGTGCGCGGGGCGGCCTCGCCTTCTCGTGTGCGAGTCGGCCGCCTGCCGGTGCGAGTGGAGCGCGCGGTCGAGCGCCGCCTGCTCATGCGCCACGCCCTCGTTGACCACCTCGATCGCGAGGGCGGACCCCACCCCCGCCTCCAAGTCGCAGCCGTCCGCCTCGCCGTCCGGAGAGGCGCCCGGAGTGGCGGCCTCGGGGCGGCCGGGAGCGGCGCTCTCTGGCCCGCCGCCGGCGAGGGCGGCGGCTGCCTCGGAGGGGACGAGCATGCGCGCCCGCACGTGGATGCTCGCGCCCGGCCGGCTGCCGCAGCCGCCGTACGCGTTCGCGATCAGGTGGCGGAGGATCCAGTGCAGCCGCAAGCGGTGCGTGAGGACCTCGGACTGCAGGAGGGCCTGGTCGACCTCGACGCTGCGCGATGGGGCGCGAGGGGCGGCGGGGGGGCTGGTGGTGGGGCAGGGCGGGGAGGGGGGCTCGCCTGAGAGAGGGGGTGGGCGTAGGGCTGGCCAGAGGAGAGAGAGCGGGGACCTGAAGGGGGTGGCGAGGTTGATGGTGGAGATGTGCGAGAGCGCCTCCAGGCTGAGCTGCTTGGCGGAGTGAATCACGAGGCCTGGAGGGAGGCTCAGAGAGGGCTCAGAGGAGGCCCCAGGCAGAGGCGGGTGTATGTTCACGAGGGCCGAGGTGGGTCCGCTCGAGCGACGGCGGGGGCATGCAGCGCGGCGCCGGCGGGAGGGGCTCCGAGAGCAAGTCGGCCTACGGGGTGGAGCACACACACACCCCGGGGCGGGCACAGGCGTGTCAGTGGCGCGGGCACGGGCGTGTCAGCCTCCCGCGAGAGAGGGTTCGCGCCAGCTGCTGGGAGGAGGAGGCGCGGGAGAGGCTCGGCCTCCTCGGGGTCTCGATGTCGAGCAAGTCCAGCACGACCTACCAGATTGGCGAAATCCCCGCTCATCTCTAGTGGTCTCGGCCAGTCTCGACGTCGAGAAAGATCAAACCGCGACGCTGTTCTGCATCAAGACGCTCTGGTGGACCAGCGTCGTCGAAGCGAGGGCCGCGAGCGTGGAGGAGGAGGGCGCCTTCTTCATTGCGGGTGCGGAGGAGGGGGCGGCACCCTCCGCCGCTCCGCCGCCTCTGCCTCTGCCACCGCCGCCTCCGCCTCCGCCGCCTCCGCCGCCGCCTCTCGCCTGCTCCTCGCCCTCGAGGGCGGCGGAGGCGGCGATGAGGTTGGTGAGCACGTCCAGCCGGTTGCGCATCTCGTGGCTCAGCACGCCTGCGGGACGCGTCGTGGACGTGTCACGCCGTCAGTGGTCTCGGACGTGTCGTGGACGCGTCCCTAAAGGCTCAACGCACCGATGAGCTGCTTGCGCTCGGCGTTGACGCACTCGGCGATGCGGCGCTCGGCGCGGCAGCCGACGATCAGGCTGAGGTCGTAGTTCGCCTCGAGCACGCGGGCCGTGAAGATGAGCACGCAGAGCGAGGAGGTAGCCAGCCGCAGCTCTGGCACCGTGCAAAAGCGGAGGACAGCCGCCAGTCGCCACAGCTCCAGCGCCACGTGCGTGCTCACCTGTGCGGTCGGGGAGCAGTCAGGGAGACGCGTGTGCAGCACACATCGGCAGCGTGTGGGCGAAGAGCGTGTGCTCACCCGTGGGATCGTCATCAGGTTCCAGAGCGGCAGGATCAGCACCGGCGACCAGAGGAAGGCCTCGTCGCCGCCGCCGCGCTGCCACGAGAAGAAGATGAAGGCGAAGCCGTTGATGAAGTAGACTAGGTACTTCACCCGGACGGGACCGAGCAGCAAGTAAAGAGCGGTGATCACCAGCGGGACCGCCGTCCCATGCACGTCACGCCGAGAGAGGTGGAAGAGGGAGCCGCAGATCAGGACTGCGCAGAGAATCAACTGTGCGGAGACTTGGCGTGCCTCCTGTCTCGCACGGCGCATCGCGTGGAGCTCCTCGCTGTCGTCGCCGATGCACCACCTCCAAAACCACCGGTCGACTGATTTGTAGTTGAGAAGCATGCCAGCCGCCGTCACGGCCACGGCGATGCTGGCAAAACGGCTCACGCCGGCCTCGATGATGCGTACGCTAAGAAGGCCGAGAATCGGCACTGACCAGGCCGCAACGACGGCCGGATCCGTTCTCGTTGACGCCGGTTTGCTGGTTAGCCATACCATCTTCTCAATGATTAGAATTCTATTACAAAACTCAATCGCACGACATGGGGCACGGTCTGGCGCGCATGATTTTGACGCACCAACCTAATGAGCCATCACGGGGCTGGATGTTTTCTTATTTTTATGCCACCAAGGGGTTTCTCGGAGATTTGCACCACTAACCGCCGAACTGTAAAATAACACTTTTCAAAAGAGTGTTGAGTATATGAGCGACCCACCGCGAGGGTTGCTCCCGACTCTGGCCTTTTCTGGGTCACGTAGCCACACCTCGCCTCCTTGGTGCGAGTGGCTGCCAGTTCGACTCGGGGGAGGATCGATCAACAAAGAGGACGGGGAAAAGAGTGCGGGGGAAAAGAATTCTCGTCTACGCGCTGTCGCCCAACAGTCGACAACAGGGCGCTTGAGGTCTAACTAAGCACGCGCGGCGCGTGGAGGGGCGCTTGGCCCAGAGTGACAATGGAAGAGGTAGCCGCAGAGTGTGTTCCGAGAGAAATCCGGGCGGCAGTTGGGGGTGGCAAACTGGCGGCGGTGTGTTCGTGGCTCGGCAGCGGCGGGGCAGAGTGCGTCAATGTGAGAATTGACGGCGGCCCCAGTCCCGCGCCGCTGGAGCTCAAGAACCGAAGCGGCTTCACGCTCTTGATGAAGGCAGCCGAAGAAGGTCACCGCCGGACAGTCAAGGCGCTGCTTCGGCACGGCGCGAATAGCAACCTGCAGGACGACTGTGGCTTCACTGCGCTCCTGTGGGCTGCCCGCTACGGGCATGCACAGGTAGTCGAGCTTCTACTGCGCGAGGGCGCGGAGGTGGATTTGCGGGGATGCTACGGGGAGACGGCGTTGATGGCCGCCGTCCATGGCGAGTCCCCCGCATGCGTGCGGTGCCTTCTGCGGGCTGGCGCAGCAACAGCTCCACACGACGCAGACGGCCTGACGGCAATGCAGCGGGCCGAGCAGGAATGCCACCGCGGGTGCGTTGAGGCGTTTCGGGAGCACTTCTGCGATGTGGTGGTGGCGGGTCAGCGCGAGGCAGCGGCGGGCGGCGAGGAGACGGTCGGCGAGGTGGCGCCGGCCGCTTCTTCGGGCACGGTTAACGTGGAGGGTGGTGCGGCTGTGGAGGGCGCTGCGCCGCAGGAAAAACCAACGCAGAGTCATCACAATGGAGTGCAACGATGGTTCAGCTGGGAGGATCTACTTCATGGAGGGACTATCAAACGGCGACGCCAATTCGGTGCGGGTATGGCTCGAAGCTGGCGGGCCGGTCGAAGAGGACCTTGGCGCAGCGCTGCCTCATGACACCCCCTCCTGGCTCAAAGTGAGTGCCACCTCTCCGCTGCTCTTGGCCGCCGAAAACGGCCACACGCATCTGGTCGACTTACTACTGCAGCACGGTGCGGATATCAACAAGAAGGATCGCAACGGCCACACTCCTCTGATCCGCGCCGCCGGCAACAATCATCCGGCTGTCGTGCGCCAGCTGCTTCAGGCGGGCGCAGACGACGCGGTGCGCAGTACGGACAACGCCTACGCGGCTGAATACGACATCGGCTCGACGGCGCTGCAGATGGCCGAGGCCAAGGGTCATGACGTGTGTGTCGAGATATTTAAGACGCACCGCGAGGCGTATGTTGCGGCTGAGCGAGGCGACGAGTTGGCGGTGTCGGCTTGGATCGAAAGGCTCGAGGGGTGCGCGAACGCGAAATTCAAGATTCGTGGGCGGTGGCGCGAGGCGGCCATCGCAGTTGACCTGAAGCACATCGGCGGTGGTTCCACATACTGGCGTGAACGCTTGGCCACCAGCGGCTGGCTGACACTGCTGATGGTTGCCGCCGCCAATGGCCGTGAGGGGGTTGTCAACGTGCTGCTGCAGCGTGGCGCAGCCGCCAACGCTTCGGATGGCAACGGCATGACCGCTCTGATGTACGCCGCTCTAAACGGCCATGCGCGGTCATGTGACACGCTACTGCAGCATGGCTCTGACATGAGCAAGCGAAGCCATGGCGGCTGGACCAGCTTGATGCATGCCGCCGTCAGTGGCCATTCCTCGATTGTGGGTCTTCTGCTGCAGGCGGGCGCAAGCTTGGCGCCGCTTGATGCGCTAGGTAGGAGCGCGCTGCAGGTGGCCAAGGGCCAGGGCCACACAGTGTGCGTCTGCGTTATCGAGGAGCACATGGCGGCCGAGGCGGCGAGGCGAGGCGAGGCGCTGCTGGCGGAGATCGAGGCGGAGGAGCGCGGCAAGGAGAGCAAAAAGTCCAAGAAGAAGAAGAAGAAGAAGGGCAAGGGCGGCGGTGGCGAGGCTGGGCCGTCGCAGCTGCCGGAGGCGACAGCGGAGGCGGTGGAGGCGGCGGGCGAGGCGGCCGAGGCGGCGACCGCGGCGGAGGCGGCGGAGGCGGCGCCACCAGCGGCGCCAGCGGCGCCAGAGCCATTGTCGCCTCCTCCATCGGAGACGGTAGACTCTTTCGGCTCCGGGCCGTCAGTTGTGGCTACAGAGGCGCCAGCTCAGGCGCCAGCTGGGGACGCAGCAGGGGTTGCGGTTGCGGTTGCGGCGGCAAGGAGCGAGATCCCGCCCGAGCTGCTCGAGCAGCTGCAGTGCCCGCTCTCCTTCGAGATCATGACGGACCCGGTAATGAACGCGGCCGGACAAACTTACGAGCGTTCGGCCATCGAGGCGTGGTTTTTCCGTGGCAAGCGGACCGATCCCATGACGGGCATTGTCCTCGAGCACACGCATTTGGTGCCAAACGTCTTTGCCCGCAGCATGTGCCGCAAGTACTCGCAAGAACCATGAGTAGATGAATTCCGTAGGTGAGAACGTATTGCTATATGGTGAGAACGTATTGCTCCTCTCTAGAGCCACGTGTGTTTTCTTACGACAAAGTAGAGAGACGCCCACCAGATCGGAGGGTCGCACCCACGGCGCACGGGGCGAGAGTGAGAGCGCACATGTGACAGCTCAGAGAGTCCAGAGACGCGGGTCGACCCGCGGTTCCCCACGCGTCCAAACGTGTGAGTGACGCCACACCTCAGAAGAACCCCGAGCCCGTCCCTCTTCACAGCCTTCCCGTCACCGCCGACGGCTCGCGCTGTAGCTGACCCGCTGGATCGCCTCCGCCCTCCCAGTGCCCACTTGCCAAGTATAGGTGCTGGGAAGGATCCGGGCCGCGAGGCGGCGCCACTCGAGCTGCCGCGCCTCTGTCGGGCGAGCCGCGCTTCGCGAGGCTGGACAGCACCGCCGTGCGCACGCCGTACTCGCCGGGAAGCGGCACGTCGCTCTCCGGATACGTCGAGTCGGTCGCCTCGCTCTCCCGCCGACCAAAGCTGTGGCGAACCCAGTCGAAGCTCCGCCGGCGGGCCCACGCAAGGGAATGCCGCCGCACGGGAGGAGGCGACGAGCGGATGGCGGGGCGGCTCGGGCGACTCGAGCGGCGGCGGCGGTGGCGTACGGCGCAGTAGACGAGCGCCACCAAGATGAGGGCACCCACGCTGCCGCCGATGGCGTACAGAACGGCGCGGGGGAGGCAGGGCACTCCGGGGATGAGCTCGACGCAGGAGGACTCGCGCGGCGCGGAGGGCGGAGGAGGAGCCAGAGGCGGCGGAAGCGGAGGCGCCGAGGGCGGCGGCGGCGAGGGTGGCGGCGGCGAGGGCGAGGGCGGCAGCGGTGGCGGGCTGGCAGGTGGTGGTGGCTGCGGCGGCGGCAGGCCCGGCGGCGGCGGCGGCGAGGGTGGCGGCGGAGGCGGCGGCGGAGGCGAGGGCGGGGGCGGGCCGGACGGAGGTGGTGCGGGTGGTGTTGACGGCGGCGGAGGCAGGGGCGGCGGCGGAGGCGACGGCGGGGGTGGGAGCGGCGGCGGCGGCGGCAAGGGTGGCGGCGGCTGGGGCGGCGGCGATGGCGGCGGCGAGGCCGGGGGAGAGGCGGTGCATACGCCGCAGCGGCGCTCGCAGGCGGCGCGTACCTCTGGCATTCCAACGCACATTGCCTGGGTAAAGATGTAACACTGGTCCTCAGTGACTATTCCATTGGAGGGGTCCAGTCTGTTGAGGCACTCGGCCGAGGCGGCTGTTGGAGGAGGAGGTGGAGGAGAGGGCGACGGAGGAGGAGGAGGAGGCGGCGGCGGCGGCGGTGATGGTGAGGGAGGCGGTGGCGATGGATCTGGGATTGGCGGCAGCGCGGTGGATGGTGGGAGCGGTGTGCAGAGGCCGCAGCGGAGCTCGCAGGCGGCGGCGACTGTAGGGACATTGCATGCGCCGTCATTGAAGAGGTCGCAGTCCTCGTCCGAGTAGATGCCGAATTGTGGGTTGAGAGCGTTGACGCATTCGCTCGTAGCCGTTGCGATGACCAGCGACGCCACCGCCAGTGTTGTGCATCGCATCGCACTGCGTTTCGCCGGATCGAGTCCACCAATGTGGACGATTTCAAACTCGCACGTCCTTCAAACAAGGATTTGCTTTTTCTGTCTTTAGGTTTGTTGTACATGTAGGTATATTGTTGGCAAATCAAGACACAGAGCTCACACAGAATCACAGTTTTATTTAGTTTTTCTGTGGTTAGCACCCGGAGCCGACGCTGTCGAGAGCGGTGTGAGGGCCTCGTGGCGCTCGGAGGTCCCGCCGTACAAAACGGCGGTCAGCAGAAGGCGCGGGGTAAGGGTTCCCGCCCGCTAGGCTGCCCTCTGCGCCGAGGCTCGACCCGCTTCTCCTCAGTTCACTAGCACAAACTGAAGTTTGTTTAACAGTAGAAAGTCGGGCCCGAGGGATCGAGCCAGCGGCAAGTGAGCAAGGCGACGGGAGGATGACGAGGCGGGGGTGAGTGAGGCGAGGGTGGCGGCGGTGGATCACGAGGAAGTAGAAGGTGGCCGCGCGGGCGTGCGAGCGAACGGCGAGCGAGCGGCTAGGCGGCGGGAGGGTGCCCCCCCCCCCCCCCGGGCGGGTTGATCACGAGGAAGTAGTAGGTGGAACGTTTTATGTGTTGTTACGCAAAAAGATTTCTTCTTCCACAAAAAGATGAAAAAAACAACACAAAAGAAGAACGCAAGTACGTCTCTACACTTCTAAGAGCTGTCCATGTCAGTCAGCACTGGAGTGGCGCTTAGGCAGAGGAGCCTGCGGAATGCGCAAAGTCACGCTCGAACGCCTCTCGGTCGCGCTTGCGCGCCGCGCCGTCCGGGCCGTAAGAGCCGAGCTTGATCTGGACCCGCTCTAGCCAGCCGAGAAGGCCGGGGCGGCAGCGCTGGTAGGCGACAACGCCTTTGTAGAGGAAGAAGAGTCGGTCCTGGGCGCGCATGCTGGTGGGCGGGAGGTAGGTGATGGTGGTGGTTTCCAAATCGAAGGCGTCTTCGTTGGACACGCTCTCGGGCACAAGCACGGCGGTTGTTGGCAAGGTAACGCGGGTGAGGGAAGGAGTGTACCCGAACGACCACTCGCCGATGGAGGTGAGGCCTGCCGGGAACTTGGCGCGGGTAAGGGAGGAGCATTGCCAGAAGGCGCAAATGCGGATGGAGGTGAGGCTGTCAGGGAGGGTGATGGAGCGGAGGGAGGAGCAGTTTTCAAAGGCGCTGGGGCCCGTAGGAGGACTCTGCTGAAGGGTTTGCGATGAGGAGCGAAATTTTTTTCTTGTTGTAGAAGAAAGGGGAAAAGAAATGGGTGTCAGCCGGACCGCTGCACCATTTCGTGCCATGGACATCAACGCGCCAGTCCTCCTGGAGCCTATCGAGCACACGCTCGCTCACGCGGTGGCAGCCAGCCGGCCGCCGCGCAGCCAGACGCCCGACCAGGGCAGCAGCCGGCCTGGTGTCCGCATCGGGCTCGTGTGCATGATGCGCGATCCTCCGGCGCTGCGCACGTGGCTCCGCCACTACGCCGACACGCTACGCGTCGAGCGCTTCTACATTCTTGCCGACGACTCGCCAGGTACCGCTGTGGCTGCTGCACGTGAGCTCAGCCGTGCCTCTCCAAATTGGCTCACCTCTATCCGGTGCTGCAGGCCTCGTCGATGCGCTGCGGAGATCGCCGCACGCCTCGCGCATCGAGGTGAGCGAGTCGAGCGGCGAGAAGCGGCACTACCACCGCCTCAAGGACCGGCAGGAGCGTCACCACGGCCCGCCGCACTCCTGACGTCGCATAGACACACCCCGCTCTCACACACTCTCTGCTCTCGCCCACACTCTACAGTACACTCTTCCTCGCAGCATGGCCCAACCGCCACACCGACTCCGCAGGCGGCGCACATCTCCGAGGCGATACCGCGCGCCCGCGAGGCCGGCCTGACCCACCTGCTCCACGTGAGCGGCGAAGGAGGAGGAGACAGTTGGCTCGCGAGGCGGGGCGGCGCCTCTTCACGGCGCTTCTCCTGTGAACAGGTGGACGACGACGAGATCGTGTACTGCCACGAGGGCACGCCCTCCCTGCACGCCTTCCTCGCGTCGCACATGGCCGCAGAGGAGCCCACTTCCTAGACACTTCCTAGACACTCCCTAGACACTTCCTAGACATGGCCGCTGAGGAGCCGCGCCTCGCCACATCCAAGATGATGTCGCTGCGGCGTGCTGCCTCTCTCACGAGCGTGACACGACTGCGCCGCAGGACCTGCACATGCGAAACCTCGAGGCGCTCGCGCCGCCCTCCGCCGCCGGCGGCGAAGACACTGACCCGTTCGCCTCGTGCTACGCCTTCCGACACACGCCTCGCGACTACTGCGCGTACATCAACGGCAAGTCCTTTGGCTCCGTCGGCGTGGCGGACCTGGCGCCGGCTGGGCAGCGCACAACACTACTCCGGAGGAGTCGAGCTCGCCCGAGCTCACCCGAGGTTGACCGAGATTACGCCGAGACTAGGCCGCACCACTTCTGCGGAGGCGTCGGAGGGGGCGAGTCGGTGCAGGTGCCTCCGAAGGTGGTGGTGCTTAGTTCTCATTGACCACTCCAGTGATGGCTCATCCACGGCAGGTGCCCGTGCCTCCACGGGTGGCGGTGGTGCTGCACTACGAGTGCTGCTCCTTCCCGCGCTGGCGGCGAAAGTACGCGCAGCTCGCCGCATCCCACTCGCCCGCCGACACCGACGCCGTCCCTTTCGAGTTTTACCGCGCATCCATCCGTCTCGCGGCGGCGCTGGTGGCGGCGCGGGACGCGAACGCGGAGGAGGCGGCGGTGGCGCAGGCGCTGGCGCATTGGCGGCAGTGGAAGCTGCCGCCGCCAGAGGCGGAGGCCGAGACTAGCCGAGACCAGCTTGGGTGGGCGAGAGCGGCCGAGATGTGGCCGTTTGCACCGCGGCGGCGACCCTGCCTCCAGCGGATCTTTTGTGCGTCAGGTGCGCGCGCGAGAGCTCCAACGCGGAGGCGGGGGAGGCGGCGAAGGAGGAGGCGGGCTCGGGACGGGAGGGCGGCCCTGCTGCACTCTCGCGTGTGGGGTGAGCTTGCTCTGGCCTCTGGCCCCGCACTGCTTGAGCGTGGGCCAGCGGCTCCGGTTGGGGTATAAAATATGAGCGAAATGCGGTCGATCTTCGGCATGCCTGTTATATGGAGATCTGTACACGGTTCACGGTAGTCTGTGTACACACACGCGCTCTGTGGCCCGAGACCCACACCCCGGACCCGGCGCCTGGCCGCCTGCAAACTGCATGAGTGCTCAATACGGCTTGAGATGCCTCGTGATGGGGTCGAGCGCGCTCGCGGGCGCCGGCCCGACGGCGAGGACTGTGCGACTGCCGGGCTCGATCTCGGTATGCCTATTCACAGCACGGAGTGTGAGCAGAGACGCCGACCACGCCCTCCACGCGCTCACAGTGCGCTTTGCCCAGCGTCGCGGATGAGGCAGCAGTTGAGCCCGGCAGCGATGCAGCGCCTCTCCAGCTCCAGCAGCTCGGCGACGGTCGGACACTTGACCGTGATCTTCATCTGGCCTACAGCCCCAGCGAGGCCGGTTGGGCTCTGCCTCTCGTGCCGCGACCCTCGGCGCCGTGATTTGGACCGATCCGCAACCAGTCGCGCACCGCGTTGGGGCAGAGCCGCAACGCGCGCCGGTACGCGCCGAGGGTGGCGTGCCTAGGCGCGGCAGAAAGTGGGTCGATGGCGGCGGCGGAGGCGGCAGAGGAGAAACCGGCAAGGGCAGGTGCCCGCTCTGCGCCGCCGCCTTGCCAGGACTCATCTTGACTGTCTTCATCTCGCCTGTCTTTGAAGACAGCTTGTACAGCTCCATGTTGAAGATCAGCAGCATCTTGTACGGCGCGTCGGTGGACGAATAGTCGTCACGCACCACAGCGGGCGGATGCTGCGACGCGTCTGCCTCATCCTCGCTCTCCCCGTCGCTGTCGACGCTGACGTCATCCCAGCTCTCGTCCGCAGAGGTGCTCCAGAGGCGAAGGAGAAGGAGCGAGGCGGCGGCGCCAGCACCGGCGCCCAGGATCGCGGCGCGGGCTTGCGACATAATACGAGTCAAGAAGAAAACACAGGGGCAGGCGGCCTCTGCGTGAGGCAGGACGAGTTCGCGCAGCGCTTAGGGTTCCGGCTCCTAGCCGGATAGGGGGTCTACACCTGGCTGCCCCCTCCAACAGATAGGTAGGTAGGTTGGTCTTATTTCGCCCAAAAGGGCCCTGCAATATGTAGGTACGTCTATTTTCATCTTTTTTCGCATCGCTGCGCGGCCTGGGGATAGGTTAAGGTAGGTAGGTAGGGCGTTTTGCTTTTGGCGCGAGTCAGTGGCAACAGACCCCCTATCCGGCTAGGAGGCGGAACCCAGACCTCAGATGGCGGGGAATAAGAAAAGAGAAACGCCTGGCGGGCACGACACTGAGGACTGGCGCGCACTGGCACTAACACAGGTACACTACGAGAATTTTGGCCGGGCGGAGGCAAGCCACTGCTGTGCTCCCCTACTGCGTCTCGCGCGTGACCGCGAAGCGCAGCACGCACGTGACAAAGTCGCGCGCCGCGATGCTATCGCGGCAGTCGAGCTGCCGATCGTGGATCTCGTAGAGCGAGAGGACGAGGAGCGCCGCCCGCGCGCGCGCCGCCGCGGGGAAGAGCGAGTGGCTTGCCGGCGACCACGGCGCCGCCGCCCGCCGGACCAGCGCCGCCGCCTCGCCCTCGCCGCCCGCGGCGCGCTGCAGCGGCGTCGGCTCGCCCTCGTGCAGGCTCGCGCCGCTGCGCAGCAGGGAGAGAGCGCGGGCGGCGGTGAGGCTCTCAAGGTGCGCGAGCGGCGTCCAGCCTCGGCTGGCGACCAGCCAGGCGGCGAGGTCGGCGTGGCCTTCACCGTTTGCAACCTCCTCGGGCGTGCCGAAGGGCGTAGCGGCGCGGGAGGCGCCGTAGGAGGAGAGGAGCTTGGCGACCTCGAGGTGGCCCCGGAGGCACGCAATGATCAGTGGCGTGGCGCCGTTCTCCTCGGCCTGATTGACCGCCGCGCCGGCCTTGAGGAGCAGCCGCGCGCACTCGACGTGGCCGATCTGGCACGCCATGTGCAGCGGCGTGACGCCGTTGTTGCGGGCCTGGTCGACTGAAGCGCCAGCCTCGAGGAGCAGCCGGATGATGTCGAGGTGGCCCTGCTGGCACGCCATGTACAGTGGCGTGGCGCCTTGGGCCTGGGCTTGGTTGACCGCCGCGCTGGCCTCGAGGAGCAGCCGGGCGCACTCGAGGTGGCCTTCCGAGCACGCGATGAGCAGCGCCGACGCGCCGCCGCTGCTACCACCGCCGCCGCCCGTCGTCGCCCCGACGCTCGCGCCGGCCCCAAGCAGCAGCTCAACCGCCTCGGCCTGCCCGTGACGAGCCGCCCAAGTCAGCAGCGTGTCCTGCTTCTCGGTGTCGAGCCGCGCGTTGAGACTGCCGCGCGTCCGCCGGCCGGAGAGGAAGGCTCGCAGCGAGGCGAGGTCGGCGGCGGCGATGTCGGCGAGCAGCGTGGCGGGCGGGGTCGCGGCGGGCGCCATGTCACCGAGTCGAGCCGCGGCGGCTACGTCAGAGAGGGGGGTGTCTCGAACGGCGCCCGCCAGCGGACGGCTCTCTCGCGGTGCACGACGCCGAGGCCTCGCGCTTGGGCGGCGTCCTTGGGCGGCCCGCGCGCCGACGACGACCCGCCGCAATCCGTGCCGGGCGACGAACCGCGAAAAATCGACGGAAACGATAGCAGTCATAGACCTTGATTCTTCCCGTTGCCTTCTGTGTTTTTCTTTTATCTTTCGTGCGTCTGATTAATTATTAAGCGATGCGCGCTGCTTTGCTCAGCGCCTTCATCCTCGCCGCCGCACCGAGCGTCGCGTTTAGACTAAATCCGTCGCCGCTCCACTCACCGCACACGCCAGCCTCGCTGGCCGTCCTGGAGCCGAGGCACGCCGTCGTGGTGCCGAGGCACGTCCGAGTGTTGGCGCAGCACAGCAAAGGGTGGGACGGGTTTGGCAAGGGACCGTTTAAGTACTACAACAACTTTGACGCCTTCATGTCCCCCTTCCCGGCGGAGGACCGTGAAACGTATCCCGAGATGTTCGCTCTCCCGAAGGGCGTGCGCGAGGTGTCACTGACGAAGCCGCTCGGCATCGCCTTCGAGGAGAGGTGGTCTCCGCCTGCGCATTACATTATCTCCCAGGGCCTCTCCCTGCCACGCCACCCACCGCCGCGTCACTTGCTGCCGCAGGGAGCCGGGCCGCGGCGTGGTGGTCGATTATCTTGTCGACGGCGGCAACGCGGACGAGTCGGGCCAGATCCAGCCGGGCGACTGGCTGATCTTGGTCACCGCGATCAAGGTGTTTGGGCCGCGGTGGGAGCGAAAGATCTTGCCCGCGATCGACATGCCGTTCGACGTCGTGATGGGCGCGATCGCCTCCAACGAGCCGCGGTACCAGGTGTAGCCCCACGCTGCTCACTGCGTGTGGACTTGCTTCGGTGCCGAGCCCACTGCGTTGCCTCCGCCTCACTAGGTCAACCAGAAGAAGGACGTCGTGCTTCAGTTCATGCGGCCGGCCGAGGCGGACGAGGCCACCGTCCGCGCCTTCATAGAGTTCTTCGAGATTCCGTACGACCACGTCTTCCGCACCGGGTGAGAGCGGTAGTGACGGGGGGCTCCTCTCAGGTCCGGTCGGCACCTACACGCACTCCTGCAGTACGCCGAACGTTGCGGAGCTCTAAATAAATAAATAAAAACGGACACCTCTACTGTGAGATGGGTAAAAAGGAACAGGCCCCTTGCGGAGCTCTCGCCTCTGTTTCTCGATAAATTAATGGAGCAAACTCGCAGCTTCCTGTCCGCGTCGGTACCACTCGGTAAAATGAGGCTGTGGGGCCACCCCTACACCGCTGCGTCATCCCCGTCATCGCACTCCCCGCTGACACCCCCCTTGCCATTGCCGCGGATCTCGTTGCCCGCCGCCAGGCTCCCGCGGCAGTCGATGAGCGAGGCCCCGTACGCGCCGTTGTTGACGAGGCGGGAGCCCTCGATGGCGGGCGAGGCGCCGTCCCGCAGCAGCACGCCGTTCAGCTTGTTCTTTGCGAGCTCGCACCTACGTCTCGGCGGCACGTCGGCTGAGGCTCGGGCAAATCTCGGCCCGCCCGCCCGCCGCGTGTCGAAACTCGCGCCCTCGCACCGCGCCCCGCGCCGTCGGGCCGAGGAACACGAGGCCTACCCTCACGGCCGGCCGCCGTGAAGAGGACGCCGCTCCGCGGGGCGAGTCTGCGGACGGAGTCGCGAGAGGCGGCCGTGGTTTCTGCAGTCGTGGACCTTGGACGAGAGGAGCGTCACGTCGCCGCCCTCGACGCCGAGCCCGCTGCCTACGCGCCGGTCAGATCACCACGCTCTCGCCCAGCCGTCCACCGCGCCGCTGCCCCTCAGGCGCCGTCGCCGCTGCTGCTGCTCACGTCGAGGTCGCGCAGCTCCACCTTGGTCGCGGAGGCGGCGCGCGACGGCGGAGGCACGTACACGGCGTAATTCTGGGCGATCGAGGGGGAGGAGTGCCGCACAGTCAGCCCAGAGATGGTGACGCTTCCGCCCGAGGCCGCCTCGCTCAAGTCGACGGTCAGGGCCGCCTCGTACGGTTTGTCCGACCGCCACGCCACGACGGCGCCTGGCTCGGCGAGCAGCTGGATGCCCGGACGGGTCACGAACACCCGCTCAGTGTACGTGCCCGCCCGCACAAGGACCGTCGATCCAGCAGGCGCGACAGCGAGCGCCGCAGATATCGTGCTGAAGGCGCCCTCCGGCTCGGCGAGAGGATCCTCGAGGCCAGCTGCCGCTTTCTGTATGTCGACCACGTAGTTCCCGCTTCTATCCGTCAGGGATGTGCGTGGCGGGGCGGCGAGTGCCGTGTGGAGAGGTAGCGGCGAGGGCAGCAGCGAGGCGGAGGCGGCAGCGATGGAGACGCCGCGGCGGGAGACGAGCGGTGCTGGCGTGAGGATGGCAGCGGTGCCGGCGGCGAACACCGTCAGAATTGCCATCGGCGTGCGAAGGGACCGAAGCGGCAAGCCTAAGAAAAAGAATTTGTTTTGATTTTACAACAAAACTCCCTCGCACGACACCGGGTACGGGACTGGCACTGCAAAGGCGACGGCTTAGAAGCCGTCGCCCTCACAGATGCCGTCCTCCTCCACAGAAGGCGTCGTCGGAAACGAACGATGGAAAAAGAATCCCGAATGGACAAGCCTCTCTCTACGAGAGAAAGAACTGCCCGTCGGGTTGCTGCCCTAATCCCACCAGGGGCTGACTGCTTTATTTATTTATTTATACGAGAGAAAGAATTGCAGAAAGCAGTCCTACCTTAGCAGGCACGCGATTCCCGCCACTCACGGATCATCCGGCGCAGCATGTGGTTTGGGAAAGTGTGCGTGTGTTGGAGCGCTTCGCCCGTCATCGGGCTCGTCGACTTTGTCGCGAGCCAGCGCTCGATCGCCGACCGCTCGTACGCATACCCGTCGGCCGCCATCACCGGGTCGCTCATCACCTCGTGAGTGATGGAGCACACATAGTCGTCCGGCGGCTCCTCCTCCCTCGGAGCCGGCGCCTCTGCAGCCGAAGAGGGCCCTTGCTCCCCCGCTGCCAGCCTCTCCTCCTCCAACCTCGCGCTCTCCGCGACCGCCGCCGCCAGCTCCACGTCCTCCGCCAATGCCTCCTCCCCCGCCGCCACTGTCTCCTCCCCCGCCGCCAATGCCTCCTCCCCCGCCGCTACTGCCTCCTCACCCGCCGACACTGTCTCCTCCTCCGCCGCCGCCTCCGCCGCCGCCGCCTCGGGCTCCTGCGAGGGCCCAGCGCCGCTCCCTCCACCCTTCTTCTTCTTCTTCTTCTTCTTGGCCTTCTTGCTCTCCTTGGCGCGCGCCTCCGCCTCCTCGTCCGCCAGAAGCTCCTCAGCATGCCGCGCCGCCTCGGCCTCCCTCGCCGCCACCGCTTCCTTCGTCGCCGCCGCCCTCAGTGCGGCGGCCGCCGCATCTGTTGCCGCCGCCTCTGCTGCCGCCGCCTCTGCCGTCGCCTCTGCCGCCGCCGCCTCCATCGCCGCCTGCTGCTCGCCCAGCAGCTGGATGTCGCGCTTCATGTCGCGCCGCAGCCACCGCACGTCCTCTGGTCTGAAGCGGAGCTCCTCGTAGGCGTCCCTATCAACGACCGTGCCACACTCTCATCGCACTCGCGTCACGCGCCCTGCAGGTGCGGTGTCGTGTGGCGCGCGCCACGAAAAGAGGGGCGAGTTCTCGAGCGGCGGCTTGAGGGCGGAGGCGTGCGTCGCAAGCTTCTCGATGAACTTGAGCATGTACAGCGCGCTGTCGCAGGGGTCGAGCAGCCGCAGCGCCCCGTTGACCTGCGCCCCGTTGACATGCTTAACTGTCATGATGCGGAACCTTGGGTCGCCGACCGGCGGCGGCGCCTCGGCGGAGGAGGAGGCGGCGGCGGTGCGGTGCGACATCTTGTACTTGTACTCCTCCTCGAGGTACCACTTAAGCTTCATTATGCCCGGAGAAGAGGGTGCCAGGCGAAGTGGGCCCAAGTAGAGGATGCCGCTGAAGTCCGCCGCTGGCTCCGACACCTCCGCCCCGGCCGCGGCCGCCGGTGCCGAAACCGCGTTCCGACCACCGTTAGAGAAACGAGAGGTTGTCATATTTGTCTGTTGCTGCGCCCACAGGCCGGGCCTGCACACGACGGGTGAGCTCGGGTGAGCTCGGGTGAGATCTCGGGTGATCTCCGTGTGCAGGCCGGGCCTGCACACGACGGCGAGGGACCACTGCTGGTCCACGAGGTGGAGCGGCACAAAGATGTAGTCCTTGGAGAAGAGGTCGACGTGCCTAGGGGTCGGGGTAGGGGTAGGGGTAGAGGTAGGGGTAGGGTGAGTATCTAGATAGTACTTGGTGAAGAGGTCGATGTGCCTAGCCCGCAGCCACTGGAGGGAGGTGCGGGCCGCTCTCAGAGAGAAGGCGAGTGCGCGCGCTTCGTCCAGCGCTTCGCCGGTCCAGGAGCGATGATTTCCTGGTAGGCGGCCTCGCGCTCCTTGGCCGACATTTCCACACGCATGGTCTGCATGAGCATCATGGAGAAGACGGAGTCGAAGAAGTGGCACCGCTCGAACATCTCCGGGTCGAGGCTCTTGAGCCCCTCCTGCGAGGGTAGGTGGGTGGAGTGAAGTGGGCCGCCCCAGTTCGCGATCGCCAGTGCCTCTCTCCCCTCGCCCCTGCCCGCCTGGAAGAAGCGCAGCCGGTAGTTGATGAGCGAGGTGTTGAGGTGCCCGCCCTCCTCGAGCCGCGCCTGAGGGGACGCGCCACCCGCACGTCATGCACCCTCCCTTCTCATGCACCCTCCCTTCTCGCCGCGCCAGCTCGCCCTCCGTCGTCGATCTCGGCTCGATGTCGGGTCGGTCTCGGCTAAATCGCGGCTCGATCTCTCGGCTCGCATCTCGACTCTCTACGGCTCGAATCCTCGGCTCTCTCGCACCAGATCGTCTTTCGTCAGCAAGATCGGGTCCTCCTCACTCAGATTCGGGTACACCGCGACCAACTCGAGCTGGGAGCAGGAGGGCGCGCCGGACGAGGAGGGAGCGGCCGCGTCGCCGTTAGCAGGACTGAGCGACGCGATGCGCACGAGCTCCTCGAGTTGCTCCGCCGCTGCCAGCGAGAGGGTTTGCGCTGGCACCGGCACCTGCACCTGCATGTCTATCCGCAGATCCTGCGCCGCCTTCCGGTAGACCCCCCACAGGCGCCCCTCCGCCGTGTCCTCGCCGCCCATGGCGGGGTCTTGGCAGTTGAGGTGCCCGTCCTGGTGCAGCTCCTTCATCGCATGCAGCGCCTTCAGCAGCTGCGCAGGCGGGGCGCTGACCTCGAGGGTCTTCCACATCCCAGTCAGCGTGTTGAGCGCAGCCCTCGCCTCGGCTCGCGTTGCTCGCACCGCGGCCGCCGCATCCGCCTTACCCTCGTAGTCCGCGTGTGGCCGCACACCGAGGCGCTCGCGCGCCTCCGGGTGGGCGTTGAAGTAGACCACGTACGCCTTGAAGGCCGCCTTCGCCGCTCGGAACTTGCCATCGTAGGCTGGAGTGGGCGCGGCGGCCATGCCTGGTGGGCCGCGAGCAGCTGGCTGCATGGGCGCTGCGAGCGGCGGGGCGATGCTGCCGCCGGGCAGCTGGCCGAGCGGGCCGGCGCCCATCGTGCGCGCCGCGAGCATCTTGGTGTTCTCGATCGCTGCCGTTAGGGCCGCCGCCGCCTCTGCCGTGTACGGAATGTCGGTGGGCCGCGTGGTGGGCGGCGCAGGCGCGGCAGACGCAGGCGCGGCAACGGCAGCGGCGGTCGCTCGCACAAAGCTGCCGTCGGCGCGCATGATGGGCCAGCCGTTAGGGCCCAGCTGGTAGCCATCCACGATTTTGTGAGGAGCACCGCTCACAGACTGAGGAGACGGCCCGGCTGAAGAGGCGCCGTGCTCGACCGTCGGCAAAGCGGCGGCGCCGTTGGCCGGGAGCAATTCTCTCAGGGCCTTTAGCTTCATCGCGTCCCCAGGCAGGGAGTCGAGCTCCGGAGACTCGTCGCGCCGACTCGCTGCCGCCACCTCCTCGAGGTGCTTCTTGAAGGCGTCGATACACTCGGGTTGCCCCTCCCCCTTTGCAATATGCAGCGCCGTCACGTCGTTCAGGCTGCGCGCTGCCATATCAGCGCCCGCCCGCAGCAAGCGCTGCACGACGGTGGGGCGGTTGCAGAGGGCGGCGGTCATCAGCGCGGTGAAACCGAGTTCATCCTGTAGGTTGACATCGGCGCCGTGCTGCAGCAGCAAGTCGGCCACCCCACCGTGGCCGTTGCCCGCGGCGTTCATGAGCGCAGTGCAGCCAAGGCTGTCCTGCTTGTCGACCTCCGCGCAGCGCTTCAGGAGCGCCTCGACTAGCTTCTCATCGCCGCAACGGGCGGCGAACATCAGCAGCGTTTTGCCGCTAGCGGTGCCGTTAAGATCCACGCATGTCGCGTCAACCTGCCCGCCGCCGTCGACCCAGTCCAGCACCATGGTACTGGCTCCTTCGCTTTGTACCGCTGCCCTGATCTCGTCAGGAATCACCGCCTCACTAGTCTCCGGCTGACCAGGCACGGGCATTCGATCGTTCACGTGAGAGTTCGAACTGGCAAGGCGCCGACGCGAGGCCGATCCTCAGAAAAAGAATTCATTAGCCAGTAAGAGCACTCCTCTCGTTTTCCCTATGTGGTGGCGGCGTGCCGTCCTCCCATCCCTCCCTTGGGTTGGGCGTTTTATTTCTTTCTTTTTACTCCCCACAGGCAGAAGAGATGATACTTGGCAGGGCGTGCACAAAAAAAGGGGAAAAAGAAAGAAAGAAAGAAAACAGACACGCCAAACGAGGGATGGGACGAGGACCGGGTCCCCACCTGCACGAGCAGGATTTTGGAAGGACGATCAGGGGGACAGGTGGGGCTCTCCTGCTCCTGACAAGGGACACGACAGGCTCGCAGCGCGGTGCGCGGTGGACTCCCACATCCACTGGCGGTCTCATCTCAGTCTAGCGACCTGCCTCCAGCTTGTCGCTGGCAGTCTCTCCTACAAAAAAAGGGGAAAAGAGACGTGCGAGAGGTGGGGATTTCTTCTCGCTCGATGTGTGTGTATATGCTCGGCATCCTCACAGCGGTGCAAGCCGTCACCCTCTCATCGCCGCCTCCCGGTCTGAGCGGCTACTCCACCCGCTTCGACGCGGGCGGCGCGCTCGCCTCGATCCGGCGCTCATCCGCCGCGGCGGTCGCAGCGGCACTCTCGGACGGGAAGGAGCTGTTGGAAATTGAGTTCCCGCCGCTCATCGAGAGCAAGGGCCAGTTCGACGACTTTTCCAACGTCGAGGTTCTCGACGCGAACCGCGACTTTGGCGTGCAGCTGGCTCTCGAGCCCGAGATTCAGGCGCCAGCAGCTCCGCCGTCTACGCACACTCCACTGCCACTCGCATCGAGCTCTCCTCGGGGTCCGTATCATGCGGCGGCGAGGATCTCAGCCGGCCGAAGCGGCCGCCGCCCATGTCACCACTGCGGCCAGAGCAGGTCCGTCCTGCCCCAGATGCACCTCTGCACCTCTGCAGGCGGCGGCGTCCAAGGCGGAGCTGTGGCTCTGCTTCGCGGACGAGGGCGAGGCGCAGCTCGCGCGCGAGGCTTGGCCGGGCGCCATGCGGCGAGGCACCCACGACACACGCCGGAGCCGCTCTCGGAGCCTTCTCGGAACCCTCCTGTAGGCGCCATGTACGGCGAGGCGAGCACGATTGACACCAGCTCGAGCCGACGCTGTCCACAGCCACCTCCTCACCGCCAGAGGAGGTCTATAGGCGACCACCACGTACATCGCGGCGGCGGTGCGCGCGGTGGGGGAGGAGCCGCCCACACGCCGGTCAAAAACAGCCGCATCTCGAGCAATCTCGCGCTAGCCCTCTCGCGAGCTTTGCCGACTAGGAGCCGCTCATGCCGATGGGAAGCAGCGCGCTGGGCGCCGCGTCTGCTCTCGGCGCGTTGTTCGGCGGCAGCCCGCCTCCACCGCCGGCCGCGCCGGCCGCGCCGCCGGCCGCGCTGCAGCTGGTGATTCAGCCGGGGGACGGTGGGGCGTGGGGGCGGGGCGGGAGGGCGTGTCGTTGGCATGTGCAGGACGCGTCGGTGGACGTGTCCCGATAGGCGGTCCGATGGAGGACTGGATGAACCTAGAGCGGCTGCGGGTGGAGGGCGTGCCGATGGTCTGCCTCAACGGCGCGCTCGACAAGGTGCCCGAGAAGAGAAGGCGGCTCGGCTCCTCTCGGCTCCTCTCGGCTCCTCTTTGCCCCTCTCGGCTCCTCTCGGCTCCTCTCGGCTCCTCTTTGCCCCTCTCGGCTCCTCTCGGCTCCTCTCGGCTCCTCTTTGCCCCTCTCGGCCCATCTCTGCCTTCGGCCAGCTTCGGCTTGCACCTGCCGCTACTAGGTGACGAGCGGCTACTACTCCAACTTTCTCAACCCGGAGCTCGGCCGCTGCTCGGACCGCTTCTTCACGCGCTTCGAGCAGGCGCCCTTCCCCCGCCCGCCCTCCCCGCCGGCCCCTCTCCGCCGGCCCCTCTCCGCCGCACCACCGCCCGCCACACACAGCCTCGCCACACCCCTCTCTCCACTCCCCGCCCTCCGCGCTCCACGCCCGTCCATCCCCGCCGACCTTCCTCACGCCAGCCGCACGCCTCCAGCCGCACGCCTCTCCGCACTCCAGGTCTTTTACTGCAAGCCGCTCGGCGCCGGCCGCGGGTGGCTCTACCGCGTCTACCCGGAGCCATGGCAGTGCCTGCGCGAGACGAAGAGAGGGCTCGAGCTCGTCGAGACGTATGCGGAGCGGCCCTCCCCCGCCGCATGCCTCGAGCGGCTGAAGCGGCCATGAGCCCATGTGAGTCCTCCGCCGCGGCAGTTGGTTACGAACACACGCAGTTTTGTGGTGGTTTACAGAGCTGGTTGGAAGCTCGCTACTCCTCGCGTTTTCCGTTCTCACATAGTTACGTCCCAACAGCGGACACATGAAAAACACAGCTTGATCCGCGACGCATGGCAAAGCACACACTCAGCCAACGATAGACGCACGGCGTAATTATGAGTTCTCAGTCTCGGCACTGGCCGGGCGTACGTTCGTAGAGCCAAGACCAATTCCGTACGCGAAAGAGAAATTGCAAGTCTGCGCGCGTCCCTCTCCCCCCCAATGAGGACCGAGGAGGATGACCGAGCGAGTGACGGCAGCTCTCCTCGCACGACCAGAACGCCCTCAAAGCAAGTCGAGGCCACGAGCGAGGCCAACCTCATCCAGGCGATCACCGATCTCGGCTCGCCGTCAGATCAGGGATGGCTGGACTTGATGTCAGTCGACCGCGAGACATATGGCCTGCCACGTGCTGACATGGGCCTGAATGAGGCACAACGCGAATTCCACCCAGCAGCGTTCCCGTACCACGAGCTATCCGAGTTGTGCGCTGGTAGGTTGCCGCGTACGCCGCGTACATTGAGGAGCCGGAGCCGCAGTCCTCCCAGGTGCTGCGAGGAGCCGACGCGGCGCTTGCGCGCCGCGCGCTCATTGCCGCCCATCTGAGCGCCCGGCAGGGGCTTCTCGATCCTGGGGACCTGCACACGGTGCGGAAGCTGAAGAAGCTTTGGCTGCACGAGCAGCAGGGCCGCGTGCGCACCGCCCTGCTGAAGGTCCGGCCCCTCTTCTTTGGCACAGCCTCGGGCCTGAACGCCCTGACCCGGATCCGGCTGGCCGCATTTCCGCGCACACGGGCCCTTGTGCTGCTGGTGCTCAACGACATGCTGCGCGGCTACTCGGAGATGATCTACTGCTGCAACCCGTGGTGCGGTCTGCTCGTTTTCTTTGCCCTCGCGATAGAAAACGCGTGGCTGTCCCTGTGCACCTTTGCCGGGTGCATGTCGTCGATCGCTGCTGGGCGTGCGCTGGGCGTGGCGCCCGGGCTCCTGAGCTTTGGGCTGATCCAGTTTCGGTGCATGTTTGCGGCGCAAGCCATTGGGCAGCGCAACATGCAGACCCCGCCTCAGGACCTCAGCTGGGAGAGCGCAAAGCTGGCGCGGTGCTTCTCGCTGATCTCCGTCTCCTCCCTGTGGATCACCGTGCTCGTCATCGGCCCGTCCGGCCTCCTCCTCCCCACAATCAAGGTCTCCGACTACGGGTTGGTCCAGCAGCTCGGGCTGACCTGCATTCTTCTTTGGGGCGCCTCGAATGAGCTCTTTGATAACGGCTTTGGTCGAGATTCCTACCCCCCGCAATGGCTGCTCCACTTCGATCCCGTCGACAGCTACGGGGCAGAGAGTCTCGACCACGTCGACTGGAGCCAAGCGGCGCATGCAATCTTCCGCTCGACTGGCAGCACGGTGTGGCTCAAAGGCACGCCAGCGTGCGCGCTCATATGGATTGGCATCATCCTCACGAGCCCGCTCTTTGCGCTCTGGTTCGCCTTTGGGGCTACGGTCGGGCAGCTCACCCTCATCTACGGCGGAGCGTCCGCGAGCGTCGTTCATGCCGGCTTGGGGCTCTGGAATCCCGCAATGGTGGCGCTGTGCATCGGCTGCATGGTAAACGTCCCCAGCGGCTCGTCCGTCTTATACAGCGCGATCGCCGCTTCGTTCACCGTCGCCTTGGACAACGCATTGTCCATGGTGTTTAGCGTGTTCGAGCTGCCGTGCACCATCTCGCACGCGCTTGCGAGCATCATTTTCACGCTGCTGCGGTTCACCAAGACGCGCATGGTGCCTGTGGACATCATCGACAGCACGGTTGCCGAGGACCACCTCTATCAGTACTCCATGGCCAACACCTGCATCGATGAGCTGGCCGAAGTGGTCAACAGGGCGCTGGGTCCGCGCCCAGACCGGTCCTCGGCTTCCCTGGCCACGCGCGAGGCGTGGAGCTTGAGAAAGCTCGCCACGTCGGCGGTGGACCTGCTCTACATGGTGCTCTCCTTCGGCGCATTCTCGCGCAGCGAGCTGACCACGGCAGGCGGTGTACACGTCCGTGATCTGAAGCGCGCGCCCTTCGAGCGGATCGTTGAGACGCTGCGCAGGGTCTTTGCGCTTCTGGCCGCCGCAGAGGTCGACGATGAGACAGATGCCGAGACGCTTCCAGCTCGTGTGCTTGCGCTCCTGCTCCTGAGCGGAGACGTCTCGCTCACCGCCGAGGGCATCCAGGAGTTTCGGTCCCGCTGGGATTTGCACAGTGGCAGCGCAAGCAGCTGCTATCTCTGTGGCAAGGTCGGGCACTGGTCGCATGAGTGCCCCAGCAGCAAGAAGCAGACGGCCGAGGCGCAAGAGCATGCAAAGACCAGCCCAAAGCTACGGCGCCCGATGCTGCCAGCGATACCGAGCGGCGACATGCTGCCATGGTTTCACCGGATTGAGCCGCTGCCTGGGGCGAACGAGGCAGCCAGGACGGCTGCGCCCAAGGGCGGTCAGCCAGCCAAGGCCAAGCCGACGAAGCTGACGCGGGCGACCACTCGAGAGTCCTCCATGATTTTTGCTCTGCTCCAGCTTCACCATGAGCTCGCCATGTCCGAGAAGGTGCTCCTCCGAGAGACTAGCGTCGGTCTGGAACAGAAGCCTGCACCGATGCACCCAACCTCTGCATATCCTCGTCTGCAGGTGGGGGAGTTCTTCCGCCTCTTCGACCCGGGTGGGCGCGGCACCATCACCGAGTACGAGCTGGTCTCGGCGCTGTCGGGCATCTCGGATGACCAGGAGGACCTGGCCCCCCGCGTGGCACATATCTTCAGAGTGGCGGACGCTGATGGCAACGGCTCGATCTCAAAGGCAGAGCTGAGGGCCATGCTGCTGGAGACTCGAGCGGAGAAGGCTTACAGCGTCAAATTGTGGGCGCGCATTACGGATGCGTGCAGCCGCCTGCCCGCCCCCACGCCGACTATTAAGACCAGGGCGATGAGGGTCGTCGCCGCCCTGCGAAGCCACTTCGAGAGTGATTTGACCAATCGACCGACCGAGCGCGAGTGGTCAGTCTCGGGGCCCGGGCGTCAAGCCCGACGAGGGCGACGCTCTCGGGTCACACCCAGCGCGGACAACGTAATCCGTAGCAGACACAGTGGCGTCACGTTTGCGTAGCTAGAGCGCAGTCAGGCAGGGACCAACGTGGACCAGGATGTCCCCGCGCGGTCCTGCCCCGTTGACAGTATTGTAGTCATATTCAGGGCTTTAGATGTGTACTAGCTACGACACCCTTTTACTAGTAGAGACTGCAAGGAAAAAACGACGAGACACTGTCAGCCCCGTTCACACATGGCGTACTTTCTTATATTCGTCCGGCTCTCACAGTACACACAGACCGGTCGGTCTAACTGTGTGTAGCCCAACGCACGAGGGCCGCTTGGGCTTACACGCGCGGGCACGGAGCGGGACTGGCCAGCTGCAGAGGGCGGCCAAGCCCTCCTCCTCGCGCGCCACCAGCGCGGACACGTCGGCGGCAATCCCGTCCACGACGGCCGAGGGCTCGCAGAAGAGAGAAGTGCGTGCAGTCGTACACCGCCTGCTGCGCACCCGCTTTTGGGGATTTGCAGGTGCCAGAGTTCAAAACTTTGTCGCCGACGTCGCAAGACGGGGCGGGAAGCCCAGCGGCCTTTTCTTCTTTTCATAGTAGGTCATAAATTGTTTGAGCATAAGAAGAAGAAAAACAAACCCCGCTCAAAACGATCGCCATTCGGCTCGTGCCGCCGCGCCGCCGCCGCCAGGCCGCAGCAGATATGCTCGCTCTCATCGGACCCACCCTCGTCGTGGCTTACTCATCGCCGGTAGCCTCCGCCGCTTCGTCAGCAGTTTCGCAGGCTGAGGGCGGCCGAGTCGTGAGGCAGACCCTCGTCATCGAGGAGTGGATCGTCGACTACCTGCGGCCGACCGTTCGCGAGGTTCCCGTCGACATTGACGAGTCCCGGCGGGCCGTCAAGTTTCTCATCAACGGCTCGTACCCTGGGCCAGCAATCCACGCCAACGAGGACGACATGCTCGAGATCACCGTGGTCAACAAGCTCTTCTCAGAGGCGACCACGATTCACTGGCACGGCATCCACCCGCTGCGCCAGCCCTACATGGACGGCGCTCGCGACGTCACCCAGGCTCCCATTCTTCCGGGTCAGAACTTTACCTACCGTTTCAGCGCCTACCCTCCGGGCACGCACTACTACCACAGCCACATGGACGCAGTGCAGGGCGCGCGAGGCATCCGCGGGCCCCTGATTATCCAGCGGAAGGCGGACCCCGTCAAGGAGGAGTTTGCGTACGACGAGGACCTTGTCGTTTTCATGTCGGACGAGTGGCGCGACCCGTCCGCCTGCCTCAAGCTGGAGGGCGCCATGCCTGGCAACGACGTGTGCGCCGACATTCGGCACGGCAGCTTTTCGGGCAAATTCGGGAACGGCAGCGCCGCCTTCCCCTTCCCGCTCATCACCGTCAAGGCTGACACGTGCTACCGCGTGCGGTGGGTTATGGCGGGCAGCAACACTGAGAACTTCCAGATCACGGTGGCAGGCCACAACATGACACTGGTGAGCGTCGACGGCGGGTACGACGTGAGGCCCGTGCAGGTTCAACACCGCCCGACACACAAGCACCCCGCACGAGTTCTAAGCTCAAGTCCCACGTCGATCAGGTGCGGCGCATCAACCTGCACTTGGGGGAGCGGGTGGACGTGATCCTCTGCACCGACCAGGAGCCCGGCAACTACCTGATTCACGCCCAGTACGACTACGCCTGCGCGCTCACCGCGGGCCACTTTATCCCACCCGGTTTCTCCGCCGTGCCGACGTGCGACTTTCACGCGTACCTTCACTACGACACCGAGCCCGACCTCGTCCCTCGCGACCTCTCGGGCTCGGGCGGGGGCCGCCACCCGCGTGCAGTTGTGGGTTCAGACTTCGACCTCACCCGCCCGGAAGGGTGGGCGGTGACTGAGCCGCGGGTCCCCGAGCCCGAGCCAGCGGAGCCGGACGTGCGGTACACCATCAACTTGGGCCTGCTCGGCCCCACCTACAGCCGGGCCACCGACCGGCCGCTCGTCAAAGGGCGGTGGTACATGGACCTCGACGGGCAAGACCCGCCTCGGTCGTGGGAGCTTCCGACCACTCCCTTATACCACTCCAAGGGGCGGTGCGGTGTGGGCGACATCCCGTTGATCAACGTTCCCGAGGAGGTCACCACCGTCGAGGTGGTGGTGCAGAACCTGTCGCCGACGGCGCACACGCTCCACATGCACGGCATGCCCTTCAAGGTGATCAACGTGGCAAACTATACGAGCTGGTGCGGCCTCGAGCACCCGACGTGCTTCGTGCTGCCGTGGTGGGGCGGCTCGCTCCTCGACAAGTGCCCGCGGCCGCGCCGGAAGCCCGGCGACCCGAATGACAAGAACATCGAGCTCGGTGGGTACTGGGGCTGCACCTACGACGCGGCCACCGACGCGCGGACGCAGAACCTAAAGGCGCCGCTGATCAAGGACAGCTTCCAGCTGTGGCAGCGCTCGTGGGCGGTGATCCGCTTCGAGGCGACGAGGCCAGGCTTCTGGTACTTTCATTGCCACGAGACTCAGCATCTCATGTTGGGCCTGCAGACCGTCTTCAACGTGCTGCCGAGCAAGCAGCCGCCGGTCCCGGCGGACGTGCCGACCTCGGGGTCGCACTTTTGCCCGACGGTGGACGAGGGGCCATGGGGATCGTGAGAGAATCATCTCTCTTAGCGTGGCCGAGCCTTTCGATTTATCGTACTGGCTTTATGCTTGATGGGCCAGCGCCGTTCGAGGTGCTGGGATGGATGTCAGAGGCCCCCCCCACACAGTTTCACGACCTTTTTCGTTTTTGTGTGTGTGCGTACCGCGGAATAGAAGAGTATGCACGTTTCTCTCGTCCGCGCGCGCCGCCGATTGGTCATGTCATCGGTTGTTGCGCGGAGGAATATAATTGTTAAACGCGACACTCGAACGAAGATGCTGTGTGCGATTTTATATATCACACAAAACACTTATATAAATATATAGAGGCTAGTTCCATTTCACTCTGACACGCTAATCTTGAAAACGTCCAACGGAGCTCCGTGTTGCTCCCAGCGCCCTCCCCCGCGCTTCCTGCGACCCTAGCCGATGGTACTAGCATGGGAGGTCATCTGGCTACCGCGAGAGCGACCCAACTCGTCGACATCGTCCGATGATGGTGCCGCAAAGTCAGCCTTCGGAGGCTATCGTGGGGTCGAGCCGTCAGTAGCCGTGACATGTGGTTCCACCACCCCTCGTAGGCTTTGCCTCTGACCATCACCGTTCCCAGGCTGCCTAATGGGATGGAAAGGAAGGCTGGGCGAGCGTATAGAAGCGTGCTCGACCTCGTCGTGGCAACCTGTACGGCAGCGCTGGCAGGCGCGATGAGCGTCGTGCCACCTGACCCGAGACGGGTCGCAGGCGTCGTACCGAGCGCGTCGAGACCGTGTCCTGATGTGATCTGTACGGGCGAGTCACGTCGGCGTCAAAGGAGCGACGTGTGACCTGTCAGAGCTTGATCTCCGATCTCAGCGGCGTCGAGTCGTCTCCGGTGCGCAACAAATGTACCTCCCCAGGACGCGCAGAGGCAGCTGAGATCGGAGATCAAGCTCTGACAGGTCACACGTCGCTCCTTTGACGCCGACGTGACTCGCCCGTACAGATCACATCAGGACACGGTCTCGACGCGCTCGGTACGACGCCTGCGACCCGTCTCGGGTCAGGTGGCACGACGCTCATCGCGCCTGCCAGCGCTGCCGTACAGGTTGCCACGACGAGTTTGAGCACGCTTTTTTACGCTCGCCCAGCCTTTCTTTCAATCCCATTAGGTATGCTTGGGAACGGTGATGGTCATGAGGCATAGCTTAGGGGGGGTGGTGGAACCAACTTGTTAGGGTTATGTGGGATTGGTCACTAGTTTGTTTTTTGAGGGAGGTTTTTTGGGGATCTTATTT